TGTGTGGTGGCCTGGAGTAGATGCTGATATTGAAAGTACTGCAAGAATGTGTATTACATGCCAGAATCTTCAAAATGATCCAACAAAAGCTCCTATTCATCATTGGTCATGGCCATCAAAACCATGGTGTCGCATTCATTTGGACTTTGCTGGTCCTTTCATGGGTCACATGTACCTCATTGTTGTAGATTCTCATTCCAAATGGTAAGAGGTGATTGTTATGAATTCAACTACTGCTGATGTGACAGTGAAAGTGATGAGAGGTTTGTTCGCGAAATATGGATCACCACTGCAAGTTGTTACAGATAATGGTCCACAATTTGTGTCAAATGAGTTTGAAACATTCTTGAGAAGTAATGGTGTAAAACACATCTTATCTGCTCCATATCATCCTGCTACAAACGGACTTGCTGAGAGAGCTGTTCAATCCTTCAAACAAGCTATGAAATCAACTAGAGGGGATGATGCAACATTACAGAAGAAGATTGATAGGTTTCTGCTAGCCTATCGTTCTAGTCCCCATTGCACAACTCAAGAAACTCCAGCAAAACTTTTTCTTGGAAGAGAACTAAGATGTAGACTTGACTTAATCAAGCCTAATCATGCTGATGTTGTTGCTACAAAACAGTCTTCTTCATTGTGTCAACCTGGCGACACAAGACAGCTAAATGACAATGATAAGGTGTGGGTGCGTGAGTACAACAAAGAAGACAAATGGACTGCTGGCAAGATGATGACAAAATGTGGTGAAAGACATTATGATGTTGACATTGGCAATAGAACTGTCAAGCGTCATATTGATCAATTAAGGTGTAGAGATGCAACTAGTAACCATGGTAACGAGAACATGATTGTTCAAAGTGACTGTAGTGCAGGGACTGTATAAAGTATCAGGGTCAACAAAGGCGACCCTATCGTAATACCTAGTGCATCACAGCAATGTGATGAACACCAGTGTGAAGACAGTGAGGTGACAATTGCAAATGTACCAGCAAAACAAACCGTGAGACGTTCAGAAAGAGTGAGAAAACCTCCCGATAGACTAACCCTGTGAGAACACAATGTGGAAACTGACAGTTTTGACAATTAAGTCATTGAATAAAGTATTCAGCAATGTGTAGCAGATATCATATATATATCAGTTTATCATTTGTGGTTGAAAGTTGTAACATTGTTAAATTTTAACTTTAGAAAATAGCTCATAGTCCTGTGTTCTGAATATTGTAAATGTATTGGTTAGAGAAGTAGAAAGTAATTTCTTTTAAGGGGGAGAAATGTTGTGCATGTTAGGTATGTTTACATTGTAAGTGCGCCAATGCGCACGTGCAGTGACGTCACTTTAGGTGTGACGTCATTATGTTGTTGTAACCTAGGCAGCTGTGTGAGGCAGCGCCAGTTCTACATTAAACAGTGATTGGGCCAACTACGGTTTTGTTATGTATTGAAGATTTGATGTTCCTCCATTGTGCGGGTCGGACAAATAACATAATACATACACAACACTGCTGACAAGCCATGACTTATAACAAGTAGACTAAAGGGCGATTCCGTCAAAATAAGGGACCAAAGAACACATGAAGTTGCACGACTGGGTCACCCGTGACCCAAATAAACAAAGTAAACAGATTTTATCGATTTAATTAACTTTGATCTGAGAAATACAACACCAACCGTATTAAATATTTACAAATATGATAATACATGTAATATAGTACTTGAAATTGCATTGCTTTGTTGAAACAATCATCCGAATATACAGGCATTAGACTGAGAGTTACGTGGAATTGCGTTGTGAAGACATATATCTCATAGACACAAGACACGTAAAGTAAGACGATATCAGGAAGAAGAAAATAAGAAGAAAATATTTTATTTATGTGTCACATATGTTATATGTGTACACATTAGACATACAAAACTTGCATAAAATACAAACAATATCAGGCCATAAAAGACCTATGAGACACAATGAACAATGAAAAACATTATTTATATAATAGAATTATAACTTACAGAATTGCAAAACCCAATAAAAAGGGATTACAATTTTAAGTAATGAAATTTTGCCAACGTGCAAACTTTTTTTAAATAAGTGCGACAGGAGGTTTTATATACATCTTACATTAAGAAAACTGTCTGGTCCACAGGAGAGAATAAGATAAACGTAGGATCAGACTATATAATTCTCAACCATAATTCATATCTTAAGTCAGAATAAAAAAGACAATTGATGAGAAAATGTATCTCATCTGCTAGCGTTATTATTACATAATTTACAAATTCTATCCTGCGAAGGTGTGATAGGTCTATCAAATCTACCAAATTCAACTTGTAAGGGTAATGTGCCGCAGCGTAATTTGCTTAGGATACTGCGATGGGACCTGTTTACTATACATGTAGAATAGGGTTCAGCTGACAGCGAATGTTTGAACAAAGTACGAAGCTTATTTACATTTTGTAAACCTCTATCATTCCACAATTCTAAATACCAATTATGCTCATCTGACGCAAATAACTTATTAGGCTGTAGAGGCCTTCAGCGGACAAGAAGTGGCCCTGACAAACAATGAAGCATTTGTTGTTCATAAAACATTTCATGTCTTCATTTATTTTGAAAATATAAATGATTGAATCTAACTTTCCAAATTAAAAATAAAGAGGATTAGCGTTGATTTAGTTGCGCTTGTCACACTTTGTAACTATATGTACACTGCTGAATTAACACTCTGTAGCGACTGATAGGGAACTCACTTACCGTGTTTACAGTTTTACACAAACGTATACTTATGAGTATGTAAAATTTGAAATTATTTTAACCATGTATAAAACGTTCATATAAGATTATTTTTTATATATGTCAGCCTGCTAGTATGTCATCAAATGGATCAAAACGTGCGCATTTACGTATTTTCCACATTTTCTGGCGTGTATACAATGCCACGACGTCACCACATGAAGGTACAATGCAGTGACCTCAGAGATTCAGGAACGTTGCGGCGCAGATCTCCTGAACCTTTGAGTGAGTGGGTTTGATTTTACGCCGCTTTTAGCAATATTCCAGCAATATCACGGCGGGGGACACCAGAAATGGGCTTCAAACATTGTACCCGTGTCGGGAATCGAACCCGGGTCTTCGGCGTGACGAGCGAACGCTTGAACCACTAGGCTACCCGACCCCCCTTTTTCTGTAAGAAATACGCGACGTATGTTGCAATAGATTCACTTGATATATGTCGTTAAAAGACTCGATATAAACGACAGATCGAGTTCCGCCGTCAACACAAAATCATACCCGAGACACACTAGGCATTAAAAACATACAGGCACACCCCGCTTACATGTATGCACGTTGCTACAGAAAGCGCATGTTATTACTATACGATGCACCGAAATGTGAGCTAAACACAGACACATTAGCTGCAATAGTTCACGTCAAATGGCATATTGGAGAAAATATAAGGCACGACCACAGCTGAAAACGTATTGAAAAAAAACACCCTAAAACAATAACTCAGCACAGTCGTTTCTATGACAAACCGTCAGAGGACCGACAGCGAAAGACCTAATTATAATAACCCCACGGGGCCCTTCGAGTCACGTGAGCTAAATTTTTAAACACAGACACTTTAGTATTTAACCGAGGCCTTGCATTGGAATGGCATCATACATAAATTCACTGATTCTTAAAAACATAATGTATTAAACTTGCATTGTAAAATAGTTTGTACATTACAAACACTAGGATATAAACTACACTGTATACAAATTGCATTGCTCTGGCATTATAAATAACACACGTACATGTCACTGGTGAAATGATACAAAATATTTTAATATCTATCAATAAGGAAAATAATAGTTGTATAATACGAAAATTGAAATAAAATACAATGGAAATTATAAAAACAATAAACGACTGATGGTTTGAACACTCATCTTTAAGATAAAACGTTGCATTGATCTGCACTGCACTGCACTGCACTGCACATGTTCCTTACGCAGAAGAACATATTAACCACATGTACATCAACACATTCATGACACTCAGGTAACATTACTTTGCAAACAACATGAATACCACTGTTTGTGGAATGAATTAGTAAAACATGTCACATTGTAAGCAACATGACAGAATCGTACGTTTGTACTTTCGATTTGGCTGTTTTGTGTTAGACGAAAAAATATGTATAGAGTGAGTGAGTTGGGTTTAACGCCGCTTTTAACAGTATTCCAGTTATATCGCGGCGTGTCAGCTTGATGTGGGAGGAAAGCCCGAAGTGATGCAGGTCTCAGACGTATACCACTTCTGTGAAACCCACGAACACGGGTATGGTGCTGACAAACCTAGAAACATAATCGGGGCGAGCCGGGATTCGAACCCACAATCATAGGTTTCTGGCTTGCCCTAGGGACGCAACTCTGCACAGCGAATCGCGGCGCCTTAGACGACTGGGCCACCCGTGTTTAGAGTATACATATACATATACATATACATATACATATACATGACAACATAAGCTAGCCTGCTCCATCAACAAAATAAGTCACCGTGTTCACTATATTGCCGAAAAGATCCTAGGATACAGACATACGTTCATGTTTTCTCTGTAACCTTTTACTTATTTATTGCTATTAGTATTATACATTAATTACATATAGACAGGGACTGTACTCCACAGTTCTGGGACAATAGTGAGGATGCCACCCCTTTTGGTATTCCGGATGTCGGGGCCTGTAAAGTGCTGTTTCGGATGCCACAGTCCATGCAGTTCATTTGGTACGCGGATGACAGACAATATTGCAATGTTAAATAATATTTTTCGTGTTTTTTCTTGCAAAGAATGACAAATCAATAAACCATTTCGACCTAATCTTATGAGCACGTGTGGTCATGCATTCAATGAGAAAATCCCAGTCTAACTTGCTTGTACCAGCTGCATACACCGATGTGACTAGCGCGTTCTTTAATTGGCGCATGGAGGCGGTTCTGTTTGCCACCCTCAATAGTCTGTCCATGTCTAAACGTTGTGATTTGTGACCTGGCTCAAATTGAGACATTGTGTCTGTATTATAAGGCACATCATTAACGATGGACATTGACGTTTAAATTTGTTCACGAACATAGCTGGTTTTGAATGAACTGAATCAAACTTGGTAGGAATGCCGATTGGAACAAGCCTAGTTTGCTTAATGTTTTCCTCGAAGGCTTTCCGAACATTCCCAACACTTCTCCAACACTCCAACTTCTTCTATACACCCCTTTCATCCGTTTCTCAGAATGGCTATGGTGGGTAATCCAGGGTTTATTGTAAGTTGGGGGTACCTCTAACCTTGTAGGTGACACACGCTAACACGAAGAATCCACCAAGGAACCCCATAATGGCGCCGAAGTTTCTCTGGATGTGCCCCAACGCTTCAGGGTAGAAGAGTGACAAGTACCGATCTCCGTTGGGAAACACACAAGGAACGACTGGAATGTATACACAAGCATGAATTATTACATACAGCTAGTTGACATTGTCTGTTGTGTTATGATCAGCATGATGTGGAATATTGCTGACTTCCATTTGAAGACAAAATATCAGTGTCGTATGTACGTACCGTGATGGATTGTTTCATATAGCCAATGTACGTGTCATGTACTCAGTAGTGTTCATTGTGGAAAATCAGTACACTAAAACACTACTCGGCTGAGGGAATAACCTAACGGATGGCTTAATAGAGTGATTGACTATGGTACATTGTACCCATGTTGGGAATCGAAACCGGGTCTTCGGCGTGACGAGCCAACGCTTTAACCGCTCGGCTACCCCAAAGCCCATGGCCTAATAGACGAACAATGACATTTCCTTTATGTTAAAACTTTCACTGGCCAGCATACATGCTCTAAGAAGTTTCTTGACTATGCAGGCGTTGTGAAAGCAAGCATTTACAAAATACCACAAGAAAAGGGATATTAAAATACACAATACCCACATACTTAACTGAAGAATGAGTGGCAAGCAAAAAGAGATATAAAATATTTTATGACACACCATAGACAAATACTCCTCAAATATTTGACTTAAGTTCCAAAACGTTAAACAGACTGGAAAGAAATACATACATACCACGTCGTTTTCATTTCAGTTCAAAGCAATGGTTTCAATATACCAGGGAATCATCAATAACAGAATACATCTATTGCCAACAAAATATCTTTTAAGAAAAATAATTGTATACATGAAAGCAAAGTACGCATCATATGTACAAAAACGTGGAAACACTTGTACATATCTTTTTGAATAAATATATTGCGGCCGATAAAAGGAACGGATGAAAAAATATATAGAAGAAACACAAAATTGTATAAGGATATAAGAAGGATGTAAGGATATAAGAAGGATGATTCAAGGATGTCAAATACCATACGTAACTTTTACCTCAAGCGAGAAATATTCAATAAATACCAAGTTGACAAATATAAATGTTCGAATAAAAATCTTTAAACAGTCGCGAACTTCTGGTATCTATGCCTTTTACTCTTTGGCTTATATCAAAACTCAAACCATTTCTCCAAATATTCTATATTGATGAATTGAAAAAATTAAATGTCTTGGAACATCAAACTACTATCCTTTACTTCCATGACAAATTCCACAATATTCTGTTCAACTACATGTGCTATGTCATAAGCCTTGCGAATCGCTGTGTAAATAATACATGTGAATTGTGTTAATAATACAGTGTGCAAAAATTATTTTTATAAAAACGTTTAAAAAGGAAAAGAACAGAACACAAGACTATTACAGGAAACATACACATATTTCCTGCAGCCTGCACTCCCCGTGTGACAACTTACATTTGCTGCTGTCATCACACGTCAGGTTGAGCTTGTGAAACTCGTTGGCAACAAATATTTCACTGGCATACTTCTGTATGGTTCCCCAACTCAGCCATTTCAGGGGCTCGGGAAGGTTGTCCAGGGTCCTGATGTGTGAACGAATTCTATTATCTCAAACAGGAGGTGAGGTGAGGTGAAATGGGGTTTAACGTCGCGTCCAAGATTATTGCACTTATATAGCGACGTGCATGCACGTGTGTGTGGCTGCTTGTATTAGTCCGGACTGATGCCGATTTATAGTGCTAGGCAACTGAGATACCATGCCGCAGTTTAACATGAATACCCCACTCAGACACAGTATACTGACACAGTAGTCCTTGTTTTAGCCCCTTAATGCCGAGCGCCAGACAGGGTAAAAACAAGTACCATCTTTTAACGTCGTGGGTCGAAGGTGTTGACCACAAGGTGAAACCGTGATTACTTGAATTGTATGATGCTAACAGAACAAGGAATCTGATCAAGGGGAATCTGAAATTCCAACCGGCGACCAGTAGATCCTGGCAGTCAACGACTGCAACTCCACACAGCTAGTTACCGTGTCTTATAGAACAGAGTCCCGTTCCACAAAGCGATCGTAGCGCTAAGGCGATCGTAACCCCAACACTTTAAAAAAGACCTATGGCAGTCTTAGCGCTACGATCGCTTTGTGGAACGGGCCCATCCGTTTCCCGTATTGTTATAAGAAGATATACCAAATGTTTATCACTTTCAACATTTGTGCATATTTCTTTTATTGACCCCCCCATTATAAGCTATCTTATATTCAAGAAATAGTTAACACGTGGAAAAGGTTACACAAACCAAAAAGAGACAATACCTAAGATAGTTAATGAACACTGAGACGTTTTGGCTACCTGAGGAATCCCGAGGCGAGTACAGTCGACGCCGAACAGATGAGGGCGGTGGTGTTGTTGGCGAGTTGGGGATCAAAGTAGAGTCCCATCATGGACACTGTGAGGAGCTCCCCGCCGTAGTGAAGGATGAAGATGACAGCCAGGAACTCCCCAAACAACACCGGGTCAGAGTTCATGCCAGATATCCTGATTATGAGATGCAATACAGTTGGGTCATAACGGCCTTGGTGACACAACATCAGGGCCTTTGATAAGGTATTGCGTACATATATGGAAATGCAATTATTATAACGAGTGACATTATGCATAAAGGACACTAAGTCTTTTATATCTATTTTACTCTAAATGTTATTTGAATTTATAAATATCGCCACTTCATTTATACAGTGTGATATTGTCTGAGGTCCTCGGTCAGGTTCCTTTGCCTAATAAGGAGAAGTGAACTCTGTTAAATGTTGGAGTGACGGGTGGTGACTACTATACCTTGAATCCTGTGACAGTAAACATGTTCCATTGGATATTAAAAGAAAAATTAGCTGAAGCATAAATCTGCTGGGAATGATTGAGTGAGTGAGTGAGTGAGTGAGCGAGTAAATGCATGAGCTGGGTTTCACGGCGTATCAGCTTGATGTAGGAGTAAAACCCGAAGAAAGGCAGATCTTAAGACGTTTACCAAATATGGGCTTATTGTGCAGAGGAATATACCAGGCGTACAACCACCGACCAGTATATATCACAAAGACGGAACTGACCAGTATATATCACAAAGACGGAACTGACCAGTATATATCACAAACATGAAACTGACCAGTATATGAGCGTGGCAAATAGAGCACTGGAGACTATACAGAAAGGTAGCACGTGCAAGGCGTATGCTATCAGGAAGCTGAAGGACGAATAGAGACCATCCCTGCTTTCTCTGTAGTATACTTCGCGGATAGAAGGAACTGAAACAGCGTACATCCATAAAAATATACAATGTTATTGCATATGATAAATAATAATCTAAATGTTAGTATATATTTTGATCTGACATACGTTTGGATGTTACATAATACGCAATCGTATGAACACTACAGCACATTGCATGGCTTTACGGCCCGTGAAGATCCGGGTTAGGATAGGTCTTCAGAAACCCATGCTTGCCGTAAAAGGTGACTATGCTTGTCGTAAGAGTCGACTAACGGGATCGGGTGGTCAGGCTCGCTGACTTGGTTGATGCATCTCATCGTATCCCAATTGCATGGACCGATGCTCATGATGTCAATCACTGGATTGTCTGGTCCAGACTCGATTCTTTACAGACCGCCGTCATATAGCTGGAATATTTGCTGTGTGCGGCGTTAAACAGCAAACAAACAAACAAACAAACAAACATCCCTTTACACATTGAGCTGACACGCTGAGATATTAGTAAAATACAACTCAAACTTACAACCATGTCAATGCAATTTATAGAACATATATTCAAATTAATTAAACCAAGTCGTATACACTTGTGCTGATAGGGACAGTTGCACAACCCACTGTTGTCAGAACAAGGGTCATAATCGGGACCCAACTATCGGTGTCCCCCGCCGTGATGTTGCTGGAATATTGCAATATTAGCGTACAATCCAACTCACTCACGTATGTTGAAAAGAATCCATGACCATCTTACACAGTCCAACGACATTGACGATGGCGACCCAGGGGGGCACACTGATACACTGGTACAGCAGCCCCGTCCTGTCCTGCACACTCTCCTGGTTGTACTTCAGGCGACCCAGGAAGATCACCACGAAGAACACAAAGTTGGGCAGCATGGTCAGGCGCCACATAAAGGAGCTCCGGTCCCGGCTCAGGTTTGTATGCATCCGACTGAAAGAAAACATCCGTTAACAAGCTGGAGAAGCTGTGTCACACATAGAGAATCTCACCCGAGTGTCTTTTGATATCAAAAGACACGAGGGTGAGATTTTATTTATCGTCCAATATCATTCTTTCAACTTTTTCAATTTGTAGACAGTAATTAGGTGTGTCTTCAGTGTAAAAAGTACTGAAAACAGTTTCAGTAGCAGAGCCATTAGTGATGGTAACCAGTGACGTCACAATGGTCTGCAAAGCATTGTGATGTAATTCCATTGCAGCGATATCTACAGTGTAGATATCGCTTGATCTCATCCAAGCGATATCTCCTGTGGGAGCTAGTTTTGGATGATAAATGGAAAGGATAGACGCTATGTATGTTCTGTTGGGTAAACTCGGGTTCATGAGATGTACTTGTACATGAGAATAACATAAATGTCTTGTGCGTGTTTGTATGCTTAGGGCGCCTAGTTGTCTATTCGCTGTTCGTAGTTGCATTGCTCAGTCGTGCCAGAATACACAGATTCATCCTGATTTGGCTTCTTGGTTTGGTTCGTGAGATGTTACTGTACTTGTGAGAATAACATAAATGTCCTGATACGTTTTTGTATGCTTAGGGCGCCCAGTTGCCTATTCGCTAACGGGATCGGGTGGTCAGGCTTGCGGACTTGGTTGATGCATGTCATTGTATCCAAATTGCATGGATCGATGCTCATGATGTCAATCACTGGATTGTCTGGTCAAGACTCGATTATTTTTACAGACCGCATTCATATAGCTGGAATATTGCTGAGTGCGGCGTAAAACAACCAACCAACCAACCAACCTCGCTCATTACATAATTATCATCATTTATATCTAATAAGTAGTACCCTTTAAGACGCTATATAAGTGCAATAATATTGAACGCGACGTTAAACTCCATTTCACCTCACCTAGTACCCTTTAAGGAGAAAAACTTATTATCTAGATACATTTCTTTGATCCCCAGAGACATATTACATTGTAAATTTTACTTGGTAAGTAGAGTAGCAGTCAGTGTGATGGTAAGCCGTCACTACTCTATTGAATTGGAAGTGCTAATCCTACCCGACACTAATCCACAATGAGCTGACGTGAAATTCGTCTCACTAATCAACTGTTGTTTATAAGCGCAACGAGATAATAAAAGGTGAAGAAATGATAAAACATATTTTATGTATTTTTATAATTTAGGATTAGCTATAAATTAATATTAAACAGATCCATCCGTATCAGAAAGAGGTATCGTGTTGTACTTGTAAGGAAAATATGTGTTACTTTGTTCACCAACTGGAAGTCCCTAACATTATTAATTACACCATGTATATACAAAGAGCTGGAAAATACAAGAAAAGCAACAGTCTTGGTGCCACACCGGGAAGAGGAGGGATACCAAGGAAGGAGGGAGGTGGCAGGGCGTGGTCAGAAATCTGCCGTCTGAGTAGCAGAGGCATGCAAACAGAAATGAAGATTGACAAGATTACGAAAACTCCAACAAATTACAGCTTCGCATATTTGATTAGTCCCTGAAATTAAGGATTGACCTGAGCTCCATTTGAATTTTATAATATATATATATATATATATATATATATATATATATATATATATATATATATATATATATATATATTTTCTTAAATAAGATAACTTTACTTCTGAGACTAAATGTCCGTCTATGGGGTAATAGTCGTCATAAATCAGTTCAGGTTAAATGAGCAACACAATGAAGGACCTTCAGCTGGCGTTTATATGGGCTAGCAGACAAAGACTTTGACCACTGTGTGCAGTGAGTGCAGTCCGTGATGAAATCCTTTTAGTGACATTCTAAGTGGGTGCAATGTGTGCATAATGCAATTTCTCAAGTTGTGTCTTTATATTGAAACACGAAATAAAGATATAAACCTTATGACTATCATTTACGTTTCATTTGTGTCTCATACCCAATAAGAATGCACAAAAACCCATTGGCGGTAGATAATTCAATAATGACACACAGATTGTAGTTGGTTAACTAGAAAACCCGTTAAGTACTATGCAAACTGAATTATATATATGCAACATAATTTACTCCAAGAAGACGGGGGCGGTCGGGTAGCCCAGTGGTCAAAGCGTTCGCTCGTCACGCCGAAGACCCGGGTTCGATTCCCGACATGGGTACAATGTGTGAAGCCCATTTCTGGTGTCCCCCGCCTTGATATTGCTGGAATATTGCTAAAAGCGGCGTAAAACCATACTCACTCACTCACCCCCCAAGAAGACGAAACAACATTTCTATGAACATTTATATTCGCATCACTGTCACAAGAAAACAGTCCGAGCAAGTCTGAGACACTATCGTGACCTACTTGAGCAAAACCCGCAGTACTCTCATGGCGCCTGCACCTGTGTGGCCTCTCCAGTAGCCGCTCTTCACCATCGCTGAGCGGGCAGCGGAATCGGTCATGTTGTGTCTCATTTCTTCGAACGTCTCCGACTCAGCATAGGCGTTCACAATGCGTCGAACTCGTTTGTACGTGAACTCCTCGCTTGCAGGAGTTCGTCGGTCAACGCTTGACTTGTCAACTGTAAATATTTCCATCATGGCGCATGTTTAGCAGATAATTGACTAAAACCAAGTGAATACAGCGTAAAAAGTCCATGATGAAAAATAGAACTTTTAAGCACATCACGATGTTAAATGTCAATGTCGTAAAATAATTGTCGCATGAATACCCCAAAATATATCTCAACAAGAATGGAAAATGCATATAAATAAATATACCTACATCCACGACTCATTACATTTAAAATAAATTTGACTTAATTAATACGTCTCTACGAAATCAACAATTTGTTTTCATTTCTATTACGTCATCGATTACAGTGGATGGTCGTTAACTCGATAAATCGTTGAAGACGAAGTTTTGGTCCCGGCAGAGTCGGGGTCGACACTAACGTCGAAAATCGACACCACGCTTGTCTCGAACTGAAGGTAATCCAATATAGTTTTATAGTCTAGGACAGAGAGAACTTACTGTATTCGTCAAGAGGGTTGGCGTATTTGGGACAAGGGTACCCTAGGTTGGTGAAGTACGGTACAAGGTCATCTACTTTCCCAAAGTAGGCTAGTTCTCCAAGAGACAAGATGGCGACATGGTCAAGAAGCTTAAAAATGTCAGAACGAGGCTGATGAATGGTAAGGACGACAATCTTCCCTCTGTGTGCCAAGTCCGCCAGATTGGACACAAGGTAACGCGCCGTGTAGCTGTCTAGCCCAGTGGTTGGCTCGTCCAAGAGGAGAATCTCTGTCGTAAATAGTGAAATATTGTCATCATATGGTCAAGTGCGACAAAGGATAGTAAAATTACTTGCCATACACCAAGAGTTGCTTCATCAAGTGTGACTATGTCTGGATTTGAACCTGGTCCCTAGCCCAAACTTTACTTCTAGGTAACCCATCCTCCCCAGACTTAACCACGAGCTTCTCATTGTATAAAACAACAATAATGTGTAAATTATACAACCAGATTGCTAGATTTATTTTGTTTCCCAAAGCGATAATTACAGAAAATTTATTTGGGTAGACGCCTAATCGGAATCTTTTTAAAGCTTATTTAGTTTTCTCCCCAGCAAACTGAGAATAAAACATGAATAGACACCGATCCATTGATTATCACGTGGCTTTTGGCGGTAAGGGATATTGCGCTAGCTATAATTAATACATACGGGGATCCAGAGTAATAGTAGTGCGCAGCCTAACCACTTTAAGCCAAACGAATCACGTTGTCGTATTTAAAAATAAACAACGTATGACTTAACCATTTAGTGACATGTTTTCAACAAGAATAACACTTAACTACTTTTGGCTAACAAACGAAATTATTTCCCGGATTATTGTCATTCATTTTGTAATCTGTCATTTTATTATGCATACTTATTCCACTGGCACGGGACAGGCGGAAACATGACGCGCATACATGAGTATGAACGTACAGTAATATATATTTAAACATTACATGGTTGCCACATTCATAAATATTCCAGGTAGGTCGCGGCCGCTTCTAAACAGGCAAACCAGTCATTGATATTATGAACAACGCCCCTTGCCGTCGGGATACGATGACACGCCATCAACAAAATCAAATGACAAGCATAGATTACCTGGTATCCCAACAGGCGTTATAGTTACCTGGATCCTGGAGAAGCTGCAGTGCGATGGTAACACGTCTCTTCTCGCCGCCTGAAATACCTCTGATGATAGCGCCACCTATGCGGCTGTCGGCTACTTTACGAAGTCCCATGTCCATGAGGACCTTCTGCACCTGGAGTGAGTTACACAAGTAGGTGATAATGTCAGCTTAGATTCAAACACTCGCGGTACGATGCCACCTAAATATTTCAATCTGAATTTGTCAGAACCCCATTTCGTCGCTTTATCCACATCATTCAGCCATTGTGGACGAATCCCCCTACTAGCCAGCGCGAGGCACTTCGGGCTCAAGAGGACGAATCCAGTATTAATGGCGTCTTCAGGATGAGGGAAGGGTGCAGAATTTCTGTCAAATTGCAATAGTGTTGGGTAATCTTTTAAGGAGCTCAAAAGACTGAAGTAGTAAGACAAGATCTACATCTACCTTTGCCTCAACATCGTCCTTGCTGGTACCCCCGGGGAGTTTCAGGTACGCCGTGTACCTTAGGGTCTCTCGGACAGTTAAGTTCGGAAGTAGTCGGTCTGCTTGCATGACGTAACTGGCATACGTCTTCATCAGGCTACGTGTACACTTCCTGTTCCGGAAATGAGTCTCCCCACTCACTTCTCCCTCTCCACGACAGGATATGACGTCAAGCAGTGACGTTTTACCAGATCCTTAGGGTAGATTGCAAAAGATATTACTTGGCACAAAGGACACGATTCGTACTGTGCGAGATGTAACAGCATTTTATCAAGGTAGTAACATTAATTTTGTTTTCTATTTCATTGAAATAGAAAGAGATGCAATGGAATTATACATGCTTATGTTTTTTTAGAAATCGAACCGAGAAAAGGGATTTACGAAAGAGATTTTACACCATTTTCAAAATCATTTTATTTACGTCCATAAAATATTGTGTAGGTTGATACGGAATCAGTTTAACTAAATAAAATCGACAAAACCTTTCCAAAACCAAAGAAATATCTGCTAAAAGTGCATTTTACGATTCCCACTGTATCATGAACATGTGTTTCTGGATCACCATCAAGTAGTGATGATATCAGGTGTTCACGAAAAGGTTATCGTGTACTGCCCCATCGGTGGCATCTGATACAAACTTACATAAAGTCACGTATTTGTCGTCTGACGAAACACGGGAACATTTGGTACAAATCGAAGTAGGGAATTGCATCAATCATTTAAGTTACTGACATCATTTGTGTCATAACTTGAAATACCCTACACATGTCGATCATTTTAAGAAACAGTCGTGTAAAACTCTTTGTACACTTCTCAGCAAGAGTATAATCGCTTGTACCTCCAACGTTTGGAAATGTAGGCACCAATGGCTGGAGCTGCTAGAATATTGATCGACATAAAGGAAAGTTGATATTGGGAATTAGAAATCATCCCTCCTGTCATACAGTTTTGTGGGTAGTTGTTTTTTGTCACTCTGAATCTTTATGCACAGATATAAATATGAAACAGATAAGGCGGTTTCATTGGTCTCTTTTAAGTCTAAAATTAAGCATAAAAGAAAATAACAATCCATTTGAATGGCAAAAACTGTAATGACTTTGACTCCGCCAAAGAAATATCTTGCTTTTCTTAAACGCACATTTAGAATAGACAGAATGGACACTTGAATGAAATCAGTCCACAAACCAGAACTTCCAATGATGGCTGTGATCTTCCCGCTCTCCAGCAGCATTGAGATGTTCTTGAGCACCTTTCGTTGCCGACGTTGTCTGAAGCACATACCCTTCCACCACGGCCCCATCCACTCTGTCACTGTGTAAGACACGTCGTTCACGGAGACGACGCCGGCCGAGGTTCGATCACTTTCACAAGCCACCTCCCAGGACATGGCTGACATCGGACGCACAACGCCAGCTACTTCCGTCAACGTTGAGAAGTCCATTTCCCTTCTTTACTGTTTCAAAACATTTTAGTGAAATACTTGTTTCAGTTACGAATAAATCAAATGTAACTGTTGCTAACTATGACTCCAAATAATGTAAGTGGTATTGATATCTATCAATTAATATTAGTGTAAACTCCTTCTGAGTATTGACTGGGTTCATAGTTCCTAAACGAGTAGACAGGCTGGGGCCGATTTCTCGAGGGCTGTGGCTGGACGACACATAGCGTAGCTTTCATTGGTCCTTGGTATCGAACGAAGGTCAAATTGCTGACTTCTTGAAGACTTATTTTAGGATGCCACGCAGGCGCATCTATAACCGGAAGTGGTAAAGATTTGTACCTCATTATCTTGTCCCTGTTGGCTGAAAGCGCTAAGCTAGCTATGCGAACTAACAGTGGAACCAGTTTATCGTGTTTCGAGAGGTTTTTCAATTTCCACGCTCCCCAATGAATATATGACATCCAAGGTGGTTATAAGTGATGATATTGATACGTCAATTATATAAGTTGTGGCACATTATGTTTTAAATTGCACACCCTGCACACCCTTCCACATAGCGATCGTAGCTTTACGACTGTCGTACGTCTAAGGATGGGAGTTAAGGTTACCTTAAGGCTGCGAACGCTTTGTATAAGCTAGTGGGTTTCACCAAAGTAGTAAACATGTGGCCAATGTTTCTTTGTGACTTTTTTTTACACATACATGATGATATGCTGTGAGTGAGTGAGTGAGTATGGTTTTACGCCGCTTTTAGCAATATTCCAGCAATATCACGGCGGGGGACACCAGAAATGGGCTTCACACATTATACCCATGTCGGGAATCGAACCCGGGTCTTCGGCGTGACGAGCTAACGCTTTAACCACTAGGCTACCCGACCGCCCGATGATATGCTGTGAAATAAATGATTACATAGCTGAATTTGCTTTTAAAGGAACCGTAACAATAGCGGGCAATTTGTGCTGTCGTCTAACACCAAACAATACAGTATTTGCTCTGTTAACAGCGCATGCCGGATCATTGGACTGATGTATTATGTAAATATTAATGCTGTTTTTACCTGTAGAAAAATGTAGTTAAACATAATTATTAAACTTGCGTCTGGACGTGCAAGGCGTCCGAGATTGGATTCATTGTTCTAAAGAGACCACGCGTGGATTTGAACCCTGGTTCATCAATGTTTTCGTCGAGGAACTCGTAGGTAACACAACCACTAGTTCGCATGATCGTCTGTTTGTTCCATGTTATAGAGCCAACTGCAGATATAATCTCTCATCTTATGTGGTCCCTCGACTCAAGTTTGCTAGCGCTGTAATAACGATCCTATCATGTTTGGGCTTAAGCACTTTTTAACCTAATTTAAGCGAAATACCGGCCTGTTAGCTTCATATGGATTGAAGGGTTGCGTTTAACGCCGCTTTGAACAGTATTCCAGTCTATCACGGGGTGAGAGCTTAATGTGGGAGAAGAGCCCTATTTCATGCAGGTCTCAGACCTTTACCCTTTGGTGAAACCCACGAGCACGGATATGGTGCTGACAAACCTAGAAATGCTTCATAACTAGAAATGCCCCATCTGTGAGGAAAGAGGGACAAACTAACGACGGCCATGTGTACCCGTTACAGAAGACCACGATGCTGAAGGCCGTCCGGCTTCTAAATCAGGGCAAATGTTTGATGCCAGACAACAAATAGCGCGTCCTCACATGGTCTCAGACGTTTACCACTTTGGCTAATCACACGAGCAAATCTAGATACATAATCGGGGCGAACTGGGATTCGAACCCAACATCATAAGTTATTGGCGTGCACAAAGGACACAACTCTGCACAGCGTATTAAGGCGACTTAGACGACTGGTCCCCTGTGGGGACCGTGCTCCTGAATTATCTGTTGTGAATAATAATAATTCCTCAAACAAAACCCCGATATCATTTTCGTCTAAACAGCCACACCGCTTGCCCTTCCACAATGTTATACCACAAACCAGATATACGCATATGTACTCCGCCAGTATCTGTGTCGAGTACATAACATGGAATTATACACTTATTACCTTTTAATAACCCATTTCTTCTATGTCTCTTTATCGCCAATAAATCGTTTTGGACAAATCGTTAAATATATCCACGAATATGTGGTTAGATCCGAGTGAGTGCGTTGATTTTAACCCCGCTTTCAACAGTATTTCAGTTATATCACGGTAAGTAGTCTTGTTTGTCTTAGACGTTCACCGCTTTTATGAAGCCCTTCATGTATGGTATGATGCTGGCAAATCTTGAAACATAATAAGCGAATGAGGATTCAGTTCCACGATCATAGGTTAAATACTATCAGATCAACAATGACTGTTCTAGATTTATATCTAAAATAAATACTGAGGTATAATAATAGCTTACTCTTACCTTTCCTCTGCATTAAGCTTTCATTTCTTATATTACGCAGCACATCCAAATGGGCAGTGCTTGGGCTTGACTGATATACATTAATTCGTTGTAAATAGCCACAAGGGGTATCTACGCAATTTAAGTGACCGTGTTCACTTATGTATCTGATAACAGTCCAGGTCACTTTAACCGATTTAGATTACTCATATATCATGGTATCTCCGACATGTACAAGGGTAGCAGCAATGGTGTAACCATACAGTATATTAGCGTGACATTTGTAAACAAACGCGATAACGGACTTAGTCATGTGCGTTTTTTCCTACAACATATGGGGCACGGGTGGCCCAGTCGTCTAAGGCGCTGCGATTCGCTCTGCAGAGTTGCGTCCCTTGGGCACGCCAGAAACCTATCATTGTGGGTTCGAATCCCGGTTCAACCCGATTATGTTTCTAGGTTTGTCAGCACCATACCCGTGCTCGTGGGTTTCACCGAAGTGGTAAACGTCGAAGACCTGCATCACTTCGGGCTTTCCTCCCACATTAAGCTGACACGCCGCGATATAACTGGAATACTGTTAAAAGCGGCGTAAAACCCAACTCACTCACTCACTCACTCACTCCTACAACATATTGTACATAGTATAAGTTGAGATAAAACTATGTAGGACCGGAGCTTGGCCTTTCAGTTTACGCGTTGGGTTGTCACGCTGAATACCGGGGTTCGATTCCATACATAGATATATAACGTCCAACCCTGATAATAACCAGTCTCGATTATGTGCCGAAACAGATTCCATTGGACGTAAAACGTAAAATAGTGGTGAAAATTGATTCAAGTCAGTCAGCGAAAGGGGTAAGCATGTCCAGCCCTACCGGTGGCGCCCGCCATTCGCACCAATAAAATATATATGCGAGTGTTGGAAGTGTCGATTCCTAAATAGAAATAATAAGTTAAACCAGGAATCTGTAGTAAAAGAATTTTGTGTGGAACCGACAAACAACCAACAAATGTATTACAAACAACAATCGTATTTCAGAATTAACTAGATTGACAAATCTATGCAATTACAATGGCAGTACACGATAGAGTGGTTGTACAATAGTCAACATCAGTATAACATGTGAGAGGAGTGGAAAGGACAATGACAATAATCACCTCGCCAGAGGTCAAACTTCCGAGATAGGCCTAGGCTGAACACCAGGATGAAAAAAGATCTTCGAGGAAACTGGTCTTGATGTAATGTGAGATGAAATGTGAGAAGAGACAGACGGGCGCTTGATTCACTTATTTTGTCTAACTAGCTTCCAGCACTTTCCACACACTGCTAGACCAGTCCAGTGTCACTCGAACATCACACATATTTCTATAACGCTTGACATCCATACAAGCTATTCCGGAAGTTTACAGATAATTCGGGCAACTAAAAATAATAACATCCTCACCACTGCTTACATTAAATAGTACCACATTCCTGACAACCAATCATTGTCAAAATATAATGCAATGAACTTCTACTGAATCGTAACAGAAACAATGTAATGCAGTTACAATCATTGTTTAACAATAAATTACAGTACCCTATAAAAGTGTTGCCTGACATCGTACAGCATTACTCCTGCCTTACGACGGTGGCCTGCAAACAATCGAGCCTTGACCAGAAAATAAAGATATGGACCAGAGAATACAGTGGCAATTCTTGGTGCTCCCAGCTGTGAAGTGGCTATAATATTGCTAAGAGTAGCGCAAAACACCACTCACTATGAAATATTCTTACTTATTTTTTGGTAGTATATATGATAAAACCTGATTTTCATCACAATTTGGTCTGTTTTTCGATTCATGATTTTCAGGGAAATTTGCAAGAAACTGTTCAACCAGGGGGATTTGCTGGAATTCAGGTTTAACGTTGCGTTCAAGATTATTGCACTTATATAGCGACTTGCATGCATGTGTGTCCATATTTGTGTGCGTGGGTCTGCCATGATACATGGATATCCCACTCTGTCACAGTTTACTGACTTCGTGCCGACCAGTCCTTGTTTTAGCCGCTTGTTGAGCGCCAGGCAGGGTAAAAACAAGTACCATCTTTTCACGTCTTTTGGTATGACACGGCCGGGCAACGTACCCCTGGCATTGCGCCCTCCGGGCAGACGCCCCATCCACTAAACCACGGTGGTCTTATAAAAATTAAGATTTGTTTGTACTTTATAATACACGAGGAGGTATGTAGATACGTGCATTAAAACACGTGGTACACGAATTAAGTCTTATCAGCAATGGGGGGATACATTCATACAGCCATACCTTATGTACTCTGTTTGTCTTCGCACCCAACTTGGAAAGTATCAGCGGTGGTAGACTACGCAGGTAAATTCTGAGTGAACATTGTTATAAATTACTCCTCTCCACATAACATGACAACCCTTTTTCAGAGTTGGCAGATAAAGAACGCATGGGAGTTTACTGATTTCAACTCGGTTGGGTCCACACGTACACTAACATTCGATAACAGCATGACACACGGAAAGCCGTTGTGCTGTTGGCTGAGGGGACGGCTGTGTTCCCTGCGTGATAACAGCCATCGTCATTTCCGATATAGCTTGACAGGGTAAAGGTCAAGGTTATATTGATTTTTTTCAGTGTGAGTGAGTGAGTGAGCTTGGTTTTACGACGCTTTTAGCAATATTCCATAAATATCACGGCGGGGGACACCCGAAATGGGCTTCACACATTGTAACCACTAGGCTACCCGACCGCCCCGATTTATTTCAGAACAGATTACATAGTTGTTGATGCTGTGGTGTCCAAAAACGTCCATTTCACAATAAAATAAAGTATGTTAATGGTGCGTGATGGTTAACGCTGGACTCAGTAATACACTTATTTTTCTCTGAAAGGAGTATTCATATAATTGTGTTAACCACAACAAATCAACTTTCCGAAAATTCAACATATTTTGTTTACTGTAAAACCCGAGGACCACATTTTCAGGAAAAGTTTTGTTTTATTCAAAATAAAACAAGCACCCCGTTATCAAATGATCATCTCAAAACTGGGACGTCATCAAGGTACAATCAACCAGGTCACGCATTCCAACCATCCTTGATTATATGTGACTTTTTCTGTAGTATGTATACGTTGTGCTTAAAGTAATTGTTTGTGTGAAACATAAGCGAGTTAAACATTAGCTCACACAGTAGTAAATACAATTTCGTCATATGACATTTGTAAAGAACACAGATTTAAATTTATATTTTACTCACATTAGAACCAAAAGTAAACGGCTAAACACACATGAAATACTGCAGCAGCTGTGACGTAATACACATACACTTTGGAACAATTAAGCACCGTTAGGGACCAGTTCAAAAGTTCGATGTCGGATAAAAACAAAATTCCTTAACTTTTAAGGCATAACCCCACCCCTACCCCTAAAGTTGCAGTCCTGAGTTTTGTGGGCTCTTTTGTCTCGCATTTACGTGTTTTCCCCTGCTTATTCTTTCTGGTGTAGTTTATTTACTACGTGTTGAAAACCATTTTTTTAATGGATCAAATCTGCCATTCTATAATGCGCACTGCACTAGATGGACTTACCACTACTGTCGGCGACAATAAAACCCTACTTGTGGAAGACTGGATGTACTTATGACAGCTCCTAACAGCATTTGAATGAAAATAGAAACGGTTTATTTTCGTTAGTGCACTAAACATTGCTATTTGAGGTAAGTTGACTTTGTCGGATGGAAAGGTTGCTGGGCCATTTACAATATCAACAAGAAATATTTGACACAAACATATTTATATGAACATTCACACACCATAACACAATATATACAATACACCAAAACATACTTATGTGTTGATAGTGCCTTATTTACAACAACTGTGTCATACAATATGGACATTTTTTTCACATTATTTTTACATTTACAGTTTCCAGCCTTCAGTACATTTTCTCAACAACAAAAGTTCCTGTGACACCTATATTTTAGTGTTTTTTTTCAAACAAGTAAAGTTTGGTTTTCAATATTGTAGTACATGTATGGAATCAGGTCACAAAAACGCAACTGCTACAGAAAAGCAAATTATGCATTCCATGCAAAAGTTGACTTTTATGGAGGCCCCATGCATTTCACCACCCAAGAATGGGTATAAAAACGTGTGCGTTAACGGGACTCCATATGCATTGTTTAGCATCGTGCTGACAACAACCACTCAGAAAAACAACAAAATTACGCAATTATTCAACATTACGAAATGCCACGCCTGTCCGAAAATGAGAGTCTGCGAGCCATTGGTATGCTTGAAGCAGGATCGAGTCAGCGTGATGTTGCAAGACAATTTAACGTCCACAGAAACACCATTTGGTGTTTATGGCAACGTTGGCAACAGACGAATGCAGTCAGAGACCATCCTCGGAGTGGCAGGCCACGCGTAACCAATAATGGACAAGACAACTGGATTCGAACAACACACCTACGAAATCGATTCCAGCCAGCAACAGTGACTGCAAGAAGCATCCCTGGCCTTCGACGAATATCTTCACAAACCGTACGTCGTCGCCTCAGATGTGCAGGGATTGTCGCCAGAAGACCCGCCAGACTTCCCATTTTGACAGGAAACCACCGTCAAGCACGTCTACAGTGGTGCAGACAGAGGCTACGCAGGACGGCCATGCAGCGGGGACAAGTTCTATTCACTGACGAGTCTCGTTTTCACCTCAGCCACAGCGATGGACGGATTCGAGTGTACCGACATCGAGGTGAACGTTACGTCAATCATTGTGTCATGGAAGAAGATCGGTTCGGGGGCGGCAGCGTTATGGTATGGGGTGGGATTACAGCAAGACAGAGGACCCGTTTGATAGTGGTAGAGAGAAATCTCAATGCACAGCGCTACCGCGACGAGATCATCGGTCCTGTTTTTCTACAGTTTTTGCGTCGTCATGGCCCCGACATTACCTTTCAACATGACATCGCCCGGCCTCATATTGCTCGACTTGTTCAGTATTCTCTTCAACAAAACAACGTGAATGTCATCCCCTGGCCGGCTCGGTCCCCTGATCTCTCACCAATCGAGAACATGTGGGATGAGATGGATCGGCGCCATCGACGTCAACCACGTGTTCCACAGACACTCCAGGAACTTCGATACATGCTCCAGCTGATATGGACAGATATCCAACAGGACTTTGTGCGACGCCTGGTCCATTCCATGAGACGAAGATGTGTTGCTTGCATCGCAACCAGAGGTGGACACACACGCTATTGATTTGTAAATTGACATTTTGGCATGTTCATGTTTTATTTATGAAATCACGCATTTTCTGAAGTCAGTATGGCAAATCAAACCATTTGAACACTTACAGGAGTCTTTTATCTGTTGCAAACCGAAATTGTTTCAGATTTGGTAAAAAACATAACTTTGCATTAAATCTTAGGAACTTTTGTTGTTCAGTATATATACAATTAATAAAGGTGTAAGGTCACACTTCCTTCGCAATCTCACATAGATCGAGCAAGCGTCAACATTGAAATCAATGTAGATTTGGAATTCCACGAACTTTGAAAGCAATGTAAGCAAGGACGACGAATGAGAGTGAAAACCCAGTCAGGATGCCGAAGTTCCTGTCGATGTGGTCGACAGCGCCGGGGAAGGCCACGTTGAGATACTCACTGCCATTGGTAAACACACATGGAACAACTGCAACATATACACATTATGGATCAGACAGTTTATTGAGAATGTAACATTTGTTTGTTGTTTAACGCCGAGCTCAGCAATTATCCAGCTATATGTAAATAATCGAGACTGTACCAGCCAATCCTGTGACTCACATCATGAGATGAAATGGGGTTTAACATCGCGTCCAAAAATTTTGCTTTTAAATAGCGACGTGCATGCGGGTGTGTGTGTGGCTACTTGTACTAGTCCGGACTGATGCCGATTTTACAGTGGTAGCACACTGAGATACCATGCCGCAGTCTAACATGAATAAACCCCACTGAGACACAGTATACTGACTCCGAGCCGACCAGTCCTGTTTTAGCCCCTTAATGCCGAGCGCCAGACAGGGTAACAACAAGTACCATCTTTTAACGTCTTTTGGTATGACGCGGCCGCGGATCAAACCCCGGACCTTCCGCTCTCCGGGCGGACGCTCTACCACTAGACCACGGAGGCGGTCACTTACCATCGTATGGGATACGATGACATGTATCAACCAACTCAGCAAGCCTGACAACCCGATCCCGTAAGTCGCCTCTTACGACAAGCGTGGGTTGCTGAAGACCAATTATAAGACAGAATGCAACCAATACATATCTGAATACCCATCTGTACATGCATATATTTGCCAAATTGTTGATGTCTGGTCCTGGGTTCGAATCCCACATTTGACCTGACTGGTTCCACAGTGACCTGCGTCACGCTTGGTTTGCTTCAATATGATATTCTGTTATATGACTGAGCTGTGGGCTGGTTAGGTTTTACGGCGCTTAAAATAGTATTCCAGTTAACCTTTAAGAATGTTCATCATACGGCAGTGGAATCGTACCGATCTTTGTGTTTGGCATTTTAAGTGATCAATCACACAGTAGTATTTGAATAATATATGTCAGTACTTCTATGCTTACACATAAAGAGCTAGTGTTTTTGGAATGTGGTGGATTTTCACTTTCCTTTGATAAATACAAAACCGTGCAAGAATCATGGATTGTCGTGACTGGTCAAGCCGCGATAGTCCGTCGTATGCTGGAGTACTGCTGCACGGCGTTAGGGAACAACACAAACACTTACATTTTCATGAGAATTGTGTGAGTGGCGAATAATACCAGAAGGGCAGGACATGCTTACCCTTTTCGCGAACTCCTTGTGGCATCACTGATTTTAATTGATTCATATAAAATTCGCAATTTTGCCTTTTAAGTCCATTGGAATCTGTTGGCAGTTAATAGAAATTGGGGGCGGTCGGGTAGCCTAGTGGTTAAAGTGTTCGCTCGTCACGCTGAATACCCGGGTTCGATTCCCGACATGGGTACAATGTGTGAAGCCCATTTCTGGTGTCCCCCGCCGTGATATTGCTGGAATATTGCTAAGAGCGGCGTAAAACCAAACTCACTCACTCACTAATAGAAATTGCTTATTCTCTGGCGTTTTATATTTGCATATGTGGAGAGATGTACGCTTATTCAAGTCTTCTAACCTGACAAAGTTGACGTTCTCACCCTCGTGGCTGCGGCATTAATGAAAATATCAACGATAATTATCAAGTATGTCAATTTTCAACTTACATTTCGTATTTTGTTCACAGGTCAGGGCGAGGCTACTGAATTCATTGGCTGCGACTATCTCACTACCATACTTATGAATCATTCCATAGCTGATATACCGGAAGACCTCGGGCATATTGGGCACAGCCCTGTTGGAAGAGATGCAAGGTAAAGAACTGGATACAGAGCCATATGACAGAGCCTGTATGAACATAACGGTATGCTAAATATCACGACGACGGTGAAGACCTTCACCAATACAGTTGCCACTGAAAGGTAGCTGGGAATGTGTTTTGTCGTCGAGAGATGTTGTATTGTTACATACATAGGAATTTAAAGAAAAAGGTAACGTTCTTCAAGATACTGTAGCACCGAACATTTAATAGTCTGAGGTAGGAATTTATGTTTATTATTTCTGTCAGTATACATATGATAAGTTGGTTGGTTGGTTGGTTTGTTGTTTAACGCCGCACTCAGCAATATTCCAGCTATATGACGGCGGTCTGTAAATAATCGAGTCTGGACCAGATAATCCAGTGATTAATATCATGAACATCGATCCACGCAATTTGGATCGATGACATGCATCAACCAAGTCAGCGAGCCTGACCACCCGATCCCGTTGGTCGCCTTTTACGACAAGCATAGCCACCTTTTACGGCAAGCATGGGTTGCTGAAGACCTATTCTACCCCGGAATCTTCACGGGTCACATATGATAAGAACAATCCGTCAATGTATTAGGTCTCACCGTGCTCATGTCTCTGTCACAAATTGACTTACATATTCATGACCAAAGGAACTCTATTCACGAATCAATGATCAGGCTGCAATGACTGCATGTCCTGTCCTACCCATGCTAATATATACAAAAAAAAGCTTAAAATATTACCTCAAAAACCCAGATGATAGAACAGCAGATGCTGTGAACATGAGGCTGGTTGAGTTGTTGACAAGTTGTGAGTCCATGAAGACACCCATGTTAGCCACTGTGAGGAATTCTCCAGCAAAGTACAGCAAACACACAACACCCACGTACATCCCGAACTTGTCAGGATCCTCCGACATGCCAACTGCCCTGAAAAGATGGTGAGGTGAGGTGAAATTGGGTTTAACGTCGCGTCCAAGATTATTGCACTTATATAGCGACTGCATGTACGTGTGTGTGTTTTCTGTGGCTGCTTGTACTAGTCCGGACTGACGCCGATTTATAGTGCTAGCTCACTGAGATACCATGCCACAGTTTAACATGAATTCTCCACTCAGACACAGTATTCTGACTCCGAGCCGACCAGTCCTTGTTTTAGCACCTTAATGCCGAACGCCAGACAGGGTAACAACAAGTACTATCTTTTAACGTCTCTTGGTATGACGCGGTCGGGGATCGAACCCCGGACCTTCCGCTCTCCGGGCGGACGCTCTACCGCTAGACCACGGAGGCGGTCGCCCTGAAAAGAGACACACGTGATGAGGAAACTGTAGATTAAAGTAAAGGACATTGCCTTCCGGCGATTTCAACCTAATGAGAAATTATTTATCATGACCGAACCTTGCCTCTATGTGTGTAGGTCTCTATCCCTTTACCTAAGTTCTAAGGCTGCTGTAATTACCTGAAGTAATGTTTTATTTGGCTTTCCAAGAATCCCACTTTAAGATATTCTGTAACGGAACAGATTATCCTTCAAGAACAACTAAATTCATTCGTGTCGATATCGTGAATAAGTGAGTGAGTATGGTTTTACGCCGCTTTTAGCAATATTCCAGCAATATCACGACAACGGACCCAAGAAATTGGCTTCATATAGTGCACCCATGTAGGAAATCGAACCCGGGTCTTCGGCGTGACGAGAGAACGCTTTCACAACAAGGCTACCCGACCGCCCCTATTGTGAGGACAGGTTTGACATACACTCGATCCCGTTAGTCACCTCTTACGACAAACATTGGTTCCTGAAGACCCATTCACCTTCCCTTCGATGTCATTATTTTTTCCAAAATTTAAAGCTAATTTCCATTCGCATTACTCTGTTTGTTACTTCTGCATCGACGAAATAGACAGTGTAGATGGAGATAATTCATATGTTTCATTCCAATAGTACATCAGTATTATTTAAACAAACGCGCCATATCCTGCTGTGCATATATCAGTGCCAGTATCCGATAGTCTCAGTTGGGCTCCGATTATGATCCTTGGTCTGGCACGACTTTGGGTGCTCCTTCCACATATATTGTCTTGTCAGGCTATAACTGAAATACTTTAATGGCAAAGCGACCTTAAACCACAAACACTCACTCACTCACTACTACACTGAAAGCGAATACTATGACTTTCTAACCAGTACAAGAAGCTACTGAAGATGGCGCTGGCAAGGATGGAGAATGGTAACATATGGATGGTGTAGGCGGCCAGGAACGTGGTGGTGGAGTACAGGCCGTCACGGCATTCTCTGTAGAACACCTCTCGAATACAGGGAACTGAAACAATTATGGTTTTATGATCACGTTTTTATCTGACAGTGTTGAAATGGAGTCATGTTGATTCGGATGTATTTTGGCAGTTTGGGCATGGTGTGAGTACGGTAGTGAATGTTAAACACGGCAGTCAGCAATACTAAAGTTATCTTACATGTAAATAATAGTCTGGACCAATGACCAGTGACCAGTGACCAGTGACCAGACCTCGATAGTCACAGGGTCTCGCTAACAGATTCGATTTTATTCGGCACTTAAGCAACATGACACAGAATGAATGAGTTTTGTACGGAGATGTAAGTAAATGTTTATTCGATCTTGAATCGGAAGTTTTACTTACGGAGCTGAAAGTAAATGTTGGTATGCATCGAAAGGGTTGATAGGTGCTATAAATAAATGCTGATATGAATTTAAATAGGCAGTGTGGTACGGTGTTGTAAGTAAATGTTGATGCGAATTTGAGTGGGCACTTTAGTTATCCTGTATGAATTTGAGTCTCAGAATGCAATATCATCACAAATTGTACCATTTACATATCATGGATGGAACCAGCAGTCAGCACATTCTAGCGTTCAAGGTTATTGCACTTATATTTCGACGTGCATGCACGTGTGTGTGTCTGCTTGTACTAGTCCGTACTGATGCCGATCTATAGTGCTAGCCCACTGAGATACCATGCCGCAGTTTAACATGAATACCCCACTCAGACACAGTATACTAACTCCGAGCCGACCAGTCCCTGTTTTAATCCCTTAATGCTGAGCGCCAGACAGGGTAACAAAACGTACCATCTTTTAACGTCTTTTGGTTTGACGCGGACGGGGAACGAACCTCCAACCTTCCGCTCTTTGGGCGGACGCTCTACCATTAGACCACGGAGGCGGTCTTCTGGACTGGGGACCGAATGATAAAGTTCTACTTGACTGACTAACCGAAACTATTCTGCATCTATAATCACTACGTACACAAGGGCACGATGTTGAGGATGGCCACGTGTGTGGGTACTGACACTGACTGGTATAGGAGACCAGCCCGATCCTGTATACTCTCCTGGTTGTTCTTCAGGCGACCCAGGAATACAGCTATGAACACCACAAATGCTGGCATCAACACAATCCGGTTCAGAAAGCCCTGTTTGTCCCGTGACAGGTTGAGAGTCATCCGGCTGATATTAAAACACGATGAAATTAGATAAGTATGTGACAGATTATTAGGCTTTTGAAACATCATTATTTTGTGTGTTTTTTTTTCGATATTCCACAAGCTAGTACAGTCATGAAAATTATGCGTGTCAACCGAAAGCAATTTTTCTACTGGATTTGGATAATTTGTCATCGAACAGAAGATAAAAAGGATGATTAATTTTACATTTTAAAAAGTTGTAAAAGTTGTGATCATACCTGACAAGCGTCTTAACAACTCGGAACCAGCGAGGTCCACGTCTCCTGCCGACACTGTCTCTATTTCCAGCAGGGGACTGAGCTAGGGACTCGCGGATGCTAGACTTTATGTCACTGTACAGTGATGAGTCTCTGTAAGCTCCTATTATTTTGTCAACTCGCTTCTGGGACACTTCTTCCAGTCGACTGTTCCTCCTGTCTACACTGGACACATCGACTAAAGAAGAACGGAAAAGTGACAGATTGGATATAAAGATATTGCTCTGAATATTCACCTTAAGAATGTGCAGATCATGACATGGTTTATTATCATATTCGTTCGCAGTTGTAATAACACACACATATGATCATGATCGACTTTAGAGAGTTACGTGTATGTGAAGCAGTAAACATCATGTTTACGTTCGGACAGATATAACGTATAGACTATTTCCACAATGATCATGCTTTTACGTTTTAAGGTAGTAACGAAATCGTGTTTTGTGGGTGTTGTATGTTCCATCGACTATTAAATAATTCCAGTAAGGATCAGTAGGGAAAGAGACCAACTGTTTGATGTATCCTTAAACATAACTCGTCTTTCAAGTCTTCGTATTTACTTTAATTCCACCAAACCGACAATTCTTTCATTTCCCTTAGGAAACACCAAAGAATCCGGTCTCGATTATTCGCCGAAGCAGAATCCATTTGGCGTAAAAGGCAAAAATAGCGGAGTATATCATATGAATGGATCACTGTTGTTCGCGAAAAGGGCGAGCATGTTCTGCTCTACCGGTTTCACCCACCACTCATACAATATCATAAAAACAAGTAAGCGTGTGTTGCCTGACGCCAATGATTAATATAAAAATATTATTAACAATTCGTTTTTCAACCGTCGACCATAGTTATTACGTTTTCGAAAAGCAGTTGAGACAAAAACTGTCTACAACACTACCATTGTTCGGCTTGCACGCTAGCACTCACTATATACATCCAGGGGGTTGGAGTAGCGGGGACATGGGTAACCAATGTCACTGAAATAAGGCACCATTCCACTTGTCTTCCCAAAATATGCTAGGTGACCCTGCGTTAAGATGGCTATCTCGTCCAAAATTTTAAAGATATCAGAACGAGGCTGGTGTATCGACAGCAGTATGATCTTGCCCTCTCTGTGAGCTAGTTCCGCCAGGTTCATCACCAGGTAACGGGATGTGTAGCTGTCCAGACCGGATGTAGGCTCGTCAAGGAGCAGGATTTCTAAAGAAATGAACAAAAACAACTTTTGATAAAACAACGCCACCGTTTACTGTATTTATTATGGACATACCGCATTGGTACTCGAGGATTAATACCTGGATCCTGTAGAAGTTGTATTGCTATGGTAACGCGCCTTTTCTCTCCCCCCGAAACGCCTCTAGTCACCTGGCCACCGATACGACTACCTGCAACATGGCGGAGTCCCATCTGTTCGATCACTTCCTGCACCTGAGTGTAAACATGACATCATGTGATAAAATAAAAACAGAACAGGAACAAGAACAGGTAAATCTATAAATCCTGAATCAAGCGAAAAGCTTTCTTGGTTGCTTCTTACTATATGGTTGACATCACAGCAATCATGTAAATACAGGAAGGAATTTACTGACTCCTTGTCTCGTGTAGGATATGTGGTGCCACATACCATGATTACTGTGCACGTCACCTATAAGTTCTGTCCCACTATTGTGTTAGCAGAGTCATTGTTTCTTCCACGGAATTATTTTGCAAAAGACATGTTCACCATTCATCGATGAAAGTGAGTGAGTGAGTTTGATTTTACGCCGCTTTGGGCAATATTCCAGCAATATCACGGCGGGGGACACCAGAAATGGGCTTCACACATTGTACCCATGTCGGGAATCGAACCCGGGTCTTCGGCGTGACGAGCGAACGCTTTAACCACTAGGTTCCCCGACTGCCCCCACTGGTGAAAGCATGATCGACTATTTGAAAATGTTCTACCTTTGATTCGACGTCTGCGCTGCTCATATTGCCGGGAAGCTTCAGGTAGGCAGTGTAAGTTAGAGTCTCCCTGACCGTCAGGTTAGGAAGCAGTTTGTCTGCCTGCATCACGTAACTCGCGTGTCGCTTCATCACTTCCTGTTGACATGGCTGGTTCCGGAAGTACAACTGACCAGCAAGTTGACCTTCACCTCTACAAGCTATCACATCCAATAACGATGTCTTGCCTGATCCTAAAATAACATTGATATATTTATACAGTGTCTGTTGAGTTATGTTTGTGACATAATACGTCTTTATTTAAGTGTCTTCGGATAGCCTATTCACCAAGCTAGTACCTATTTAGCTACTTCAACATTCTTCAAAAGGCATACACCTTGGTCAGACATACCAGAACTTCCTATAAGTGCTGTTATTAGTCCTCCCTTGAGGGACATGCTTATATTGTTGAGAACTGTTTTATTTCGTCGTTTCCTGAAGCAAGCTCCTTTCCACCAGGGGCCTTCCCATTCCTGTACCGTGTACGTCACATCCTTTATGTGTAGCACAGGAGGAACCGTGTCACCGGAAGTGGGCAGGGGACTGATTGAGGTAGGCCTGAGGATAGGGGACGCATCTTGTAGTGTAGAGATGTCCATTTCTGATAATTAAAGTAATCATACTGATGAATAACCTTCCTTACAAAATAAAATGATCACACTAACACGACTCTTTCTTCATCAATTCCAAGTTCCATCAAATCTACCCGCTAATATACTTCCAAATCCCTGTCTCAATGCTTAATCACTTATTCATAATCCTTAATTCAATCAATTTTTATATTAACAGACAAGTAAAAGATTTGCTGGAATTTTCGCAATCTCAGAAAAGAGTCCAATTCTGTCAAAACATTTTGATTTTTTCCAATTATCACAAAACGTGGTGTCCATATACATACTGACGTCTAAATCTTCAATAATACTCCACAATTTGTTAAAAATGAAAGCAAATGTCATGAGATGTTTACTGAGAAACAATATGTGAAATGATGGATTTCCTCGTATATGACATCAATGTGGAATTTCGGGATAGGACAGTTAGTGCCAAGAATTAGTCATCACCATGGCCACCAATTATGGTCCCTTCCTTGCTGATGTCTTCCTTTATACATATGAATCGGGATTCCACTCGGATTTTCAAAAGCAAAACACGTGAAAGTGAAAACTCCGCATCTCTTTCATTTTCAAATCTATGCATATAGATTCAGGGTGACATAAATCTACCCATAAGACTGTATGACAAGAGGGATGACTTAAACTTTCCTATGGTCAATTTTCCCTTTATGTCTATCATAGCTTTTGAGCATGCTCTTTAACGACTATTTCAAAGGGCTTCATAAGTTCTTGCTCAAACGTTGTTTGGTCAAGCTTAAATCATGTACCATATGTTCCCCTGTTTGTTCGCGTGAATAATTGATTTGCCTTTGCGTGTGTTTGTAAAGGTTGCCACCGGTGGGGTGTCATCACTATTTGATGGTCATATAGTCGGAATCGTGCAATCGATTCTGCCTTTAGTAGAGATTCTTTATGAATATGTTAAGGATTTTTTTTGGGACGGGTGCCACCGGCTGAAAAGGATATGCAGCTCAGATTTTCGGAAGCATTAAATGATATAGTCGGAAAAGTACAATGAACTTTTAGCATATCTGATAATTATGGAGAGGGATCTTTCGCTTTATGTTCTACATACTGTTTATTCAAATATAATTACGTGGTTGACATTATTCTATGTTTAATTCACTGTTATTTTCCAGCACAGGAAACAATGTTACAGCTATTCAAAGGTGACGTCTCTGTGTGAATATTCGTATCGATTTCTACGATGACCAGGACCCTGCGGTTGTCAGCAAAAGATGCGATCTACGCTTGGGGTACGCTGACAGACAATCAGCCAGTCATTATAACCCCGATCGCCGTAAGTTGGCTGTACGGCAAGCATAACTGGAGAGACCCGTGAAGATCCGGGGTAGAATAGGTCTTCAGCAACCCATGCTTGTCGTAAAAGGGGACTATGCTTGTCGTAAGAGGCGACTAACGGGATCGGGTGGTCAGGCTCGCTGACTTTGTTGAAGCATGTCATCGTATCCCAATTGCGTGGATCGATGCTCATGATATCAATCACTGGATTGTCTGGTCCAGATTATTTACAGACCGCCGTCATATAGCTGGAATATTGCTGAGATCGGCGTTCAACAAACTAAACCAAAATCTTTGCCATGTGACAATGGACACATATAAACACCAAGAGAGCATGCTTCACTCAATACATACACTGCCCGATGACATCCAGGACAATCATGTAGGGGTACATGACGCTGATCATGTAGAGTTGTAATATTATTGAGTGCGGCGTAAAACAACAAACAAAACAAAACAAACAAGCCATAACTGGCGACTGTTGTTCCTGAACACCCACGGGGCGTATTACTTCAGCTACATGGAATCTGTTTTAGTGCCGGTATTGACATTAAATGCATGAAATCTGATTGTGTTTTGAACCACACAAGACCAAAAGAAAAGAAAAGCAAAACCACACGTACCTGCATTTCTGATAATGACCCTTATTCAAGAGCAAAATAAACATCAGGAAATGTAGATAAAAATGAAGTATGACTTTACTGTCAATGTCATCCTATGCTTTAACATGCCATTGGAGAAACGATAATTAAATACGTTAAACCAAAATATTGAATATCTGTATACAGACATACATAGAACGCAGAGGACGTAAACCTTACCTTTTAAATTTGTAAGGCCACACGGTAGAAAACAAACTGCATGTGCTAAGGTCACATGATAAAAGTGATCTAGATCATGCTTGGGTTTAATGTCGATGTGTTATCAGACCTCGTGCCTGCGGGTCCCAGGTGATAAACACCCCTTGTGAAATGTGGGACTTGACAAGAACTACGTGCATGCGTCCTCTACCGTCGACATAACTGACAACCATGGCGCAATATGAACGGGTCTCGTGTCTGCAACATAGAAGGTAAATATATACATCTCACGTTTTACTAAACAGCTCACAATTACTTCATCAACGGCGGGGTAACCTAGTGGTTAAAACTGTCCCCGTTGTGGTATGACTGGGTTTAAGTTGAAAGCGGCGTTAAACCCAATTTACTGACGCATTCATCATGCATTTTGTTTTTCAAAACAATGAAATCAATTCACCTTAGCTGCAGATGGATTAAAGTTTAGGTTTCATCCTTAAAGGGGAAGATGTACTGATGGTTTATGGACCAGGGTCTAGTGACACGAATGGGTTTTGCACCAAGGATTGATAAGGTTTTGTAATGATAGTCACGGTTAATAGATGAGCTCGAAGTGTACATGGCGTTGACATGTTGTTGACATCGACTAGACTTGGCAAGATAACGATACGGGGCATCGTGATAACGCGGTGAATGACATTAGAACTTTCCTGCTCATAGATTGACAAAGTTCAATCTTCCCGTCATACAGTATTCTTGATCTCGAATGATATTTTTCCTGTAGGATTAAATGGGATTGCATGAGGTAAATATTTGATTTTCAGACTTTAAAATATGAAGATTTAATTATGATATTCCATCACTCAGAAATCACTTCATGGCCTATTTTGTTCTTCATCGACAGTTCTTGAATGCATAATTACCACTGACGACAATGGTGGACATCGATAAAGTGTTCACCGTTGACCTCAACTTCAACAAACATGCTCCCATTGATGTCCGTGTAGAAGACCTGTCCTACTCTGTCAGTGACAGGCCAGTCAAGATATGGCAGAGACTGGCGGCACTGCAGATGCCCTGGGAATGGTTGGAGGAACCACAGACCAAGATGGTGCTCAGAAATATCTCCTTCGCAGTCAAGAGCGGCAAGATGCTGGCCATCATGGGAAGCTCAGGTATGTGTTTTGTTTGTTGTTGTTTAACGCCGCATTCAGCGGTATTCCAGCTGTATGTCGACGGTCTGTAAATAATCGAGTCTGAACCAGACAATCCAGTGATTGGCATGAACATTGATCCACGCAACTAGGATCGGTGACATCTCAGGTATTTGAGTGAGTGAGCTGGGATTAACATTTCTTTGAATGGTATGTCAGTTATCTCAAAACATGTAAGCTTAGTGTGGACGGAAATCCCGGAGTCGTGCGGGAATAAAGCGTTTACCACTTTGGTGAACCAGTTGGTGCACCAGAACTGATTTTAATAATTGAAGGAATACACATAATTACGATTTTAAAGAGTATTTGTCTATGAATTAGTAGTACAAACTTCTTTTACATACTAGAGAGACATGTTTGAAATAGTTGGCGATTATGACAGCAGAATCAGTGTTTTAAAAGTCTTTTTTTTTACACAACTAAAGTGAAACAACAAATTTGAAAAGTAATGTTTTGAGAATTTGTAATTTGTACTCAGAAATGTTGGCTTTACTGGTGTCTCTCTTTTTAAAATTTATTACAACGTATCCTTCTTGGTGTCGCCTTCAAATACCCAATTTACCAACAGGAAGCGGAAAGACATCACTGCTTGACGTGATGGCGTGCAGGACGATGACAGGGGAGGTAACTGGTGAGGTCTACCTGAACGGTGCTGCGCGAACAAGGACTATGTTAGACACCTGCTCAGCCTATGTGCGACAGGACGACCGGCTGCTGGGGAACCTGACTGTGAGAGAGACACTAATGTTTGTAGCACAGCTGAAACTTCCCACCAATATGAAGCAGATTGAGGTAGAAGACAGGGTGAGTGATAACGATAACTTTCTTGGCACGCCTAATTTGGTCAGTATCCTACTCTCTTTTAACGCCAGTCCGGGGTAAAATCGGAGAATATATACAGTAGACTACGTTTATAACGATCACGCTTATAACGAACTGACGGATATAACGAACTTATTTTAGTCCCGGCCATTTGATGTATATATGTTGTATATATGCTTATAACGAACTACGGTTATTACGAACTACAATTAGTGGTCCCTTTGAGTTCGTTATAACCGTAGTTTACTGTAGTGAGTTATTTCGACTGAAAATGATTTCGTTGGTCGAAACTGCCTACCAAACTGAGCATGGGGTGTTTAAAAAGTGAGACCTAGATGGTTTGCGTCTTTGCAACTCACCACGGCCAGGAGTTTTTCATGACATCAACTGATTTGCATCCAAATCTTTAATGTTCTTCTAAAGAAGAATGATAAACTCCTGCATAAGATCCAAAGTAAATGTGCACTCGTTGTAAAAGTCTTAAAATATCATTGCAAATGCTTTGTTACCGCAGGTAAAAAATGTGATGTCGGAGTTGGGTCTGTCCCATGTTGCTGATACCAGGGTTGGGAACTCCGAGATAAGGGGCGTGTCGGGCGGGGAGAGGAGAAGGATCAGCATCGGGATACAGCTGCTGGTAGATCCAAGTAAGTCATCGGCAGTTCAGTTTCGTGTATAACTTTATATGTATAAACTTTCTAAGGTTAGTTATACTCTTATCTGTCTCATAACAAGTGATGCCCCACACACAAATGGGAGCGAACTATTCAAAATACCCTGCACACACGAATAAATCATAACAAGTTCCCCAAATTTAAACTACCAGAATATTTAGTGAACGTATTTTGTGTTACCTTTCAGTAAATCGGTGAGACAATGACTCAAGTTGTGGCTCTAGCCGAGCATGTAACGGCATGCCATGTGTCACGTGGGGTATTGTGTCAAATAGTTGTCGGGGATATTGATGCTCGTGGTTGTTTATCTGTGATTACTGTTTGACGTGGTTGTTTATCCGGGTATACTGTTTCACGTGGTTGTTTATCCGGGTATACTGTTTCACGTGGTTGTTTATCCAGGTAAACTGTTTCGCGTGGTTGTTTATCCGAGTATACTATTTCACGTGGTTGTTTATCCGGGTATACTGTTTCACGTGGTTGTTTACTCGGGTATACTGTTTCACGTGGTTGTTTATCCGGATATACAGTTTCACGTGGTTGTTTATTCGGGTATACCTGTTTCACGTGGTTGTTTATTCGGGTATACTGTTTCACGTGGTTGTTTATTCGGGTATACTTTTTCACGTGGTTGTTTATCCGGGCATTCTGTTTCACGTGGTTTTTATTCGGGTATACTGATTCCCGTAGTTGTTTATTCGGGCATACTATTTCACGTGGTTGTTTATTCGGGTATACTATTTCACATGGTTGTTTATCCGAGTATACAGTTTCACATGGTTGTTTTTTCCGAGTATACAGTTTCACGTGGCTGTTTATTCGGGTTTACTTTTTCACGTGGTTGTTTATCCGGGCATACTGTTTCACGTGGTTTTTATTCGGGTATACTGATTCCTGTGGTTGTTTATTCGGGCATACTATTTCACGTGGTTGTTTATTTGGGTATACAGTTTCACGTGGTTGTTTATCCGGGTATACTGTTTCACGTGGTTGTTTATTCGGGTATACTGTTTCACGTGGTTGTTTATTCGGGTATACTTTTTCACGTGGTTGTTTATCCGAGTATACTGTTTCACGTGGTTGTTTATTCGGGTATACAGTTTCCCGTGGTTGTTAATCCGGGTATACTGATTCCTGTGGTTGTTTATTTGGGTATACTGTTTCACGTGGTTGTTTATTCGGGTATACTGTTTCACGTGGTTGTATATCTGGGTATACTGTTTCACATGGTTGTTTATCCGGGTATACAGTTTCCCGTGGTTGTTTATCCGGGTATACTGATTCCTGTGGTTGTTTATTCGGGTATACTGTTTCACGTGGTTGTTTATTCGGGTATACTGTTTCATGTGGTTGATTATCGGGGGTGTTTCATGTGGTTGTTTATCCGGGTCTACTGTTTGACGTGGTTGTTTATCCGAGTATACTATTTCACGTGGTTGTTTATTCGGGTATACTGTTTGACGTGGTTGTTTATCCGAGTATACTATTTCACGTGGTTGTTTATCCGGGTATACTGTTTGACATGGTTGTTTATTCGGGTATACTTTTTGACGTGGTTGTTTATTCGGGTATACTGTTTGACGTGGTTGTTTATTCGGGTATACTGTTTCACATGGTTGTTTATCCGGATATACAGTTTCACGTGGTTGTTTATTCGGGTATACTGTTTCACGTGGTTGTTTATTCGGGTTTACTATTTCACGTGGTTGTTTATCCGGGCATACTGTTTCACGTGGTTGTTTATCCGGGTATACTGATTCCCGTGGTTGTTTATTCGGGCATACTATTTCACGTGGTTGTTTATTTGGGTATACTATTTCACGTGGTTGTTTATTCGGGTATACTATTTCACATGGTTGTTTATCCGAGTATACAGTTTCACATGGTTGTTTTTTCCGAGTATACAGTTTCACATGGTTGTTTATTTGGGTATACTGTTTCACGTGGTTGTTTATCCGGGTATACTGTTTCACGTGGTTGTTTATTCGGGTATACTATTTCACATGGTTGTTTATCCGAGTATACAGTTTCACATGGTTGTTTTTTCCGAGTATACAGTTTCACGTGGCTGTTTATTCGGGTATACTGTTTCACGTGGTTGTTTATCCGGGTCTACTGTTTGACGTGGTTGTTTATCCGAGCATACTATTTCACATGGTTGTTTATTCGGGTATACTGTTTCACTTGGTTGTTTATCCGAGTATACTATTTCACGTGGTTGTTTATCCGGGTATACTGTTTGACATGGTTGTTTATTCGGGTATACTTTTTGACGTAGTTGTTTATTCGGGTATACTGTTTGACGTGGTTGTTTATTCGGGTATACTGTTTCACATGGTTGTTTATCCGGATATACAGTTTCACGTGGTTGTTTATTCGGGTATACTGTTTCACGTGGTTGTTTATTCGGGTTTACTATTTCACGTGGTTGTTTATCCGGGCATACTGTTTCACGTGGTTGTTTATTCGGGTATACTGATTCCCGTGGTTGTTTATTCGGGCATACTATTTCACGTGGTTGTTTATTTGGGTATACTGTTTCACGTGGTTGTTTATCCGGGTATACTGTTTCACGTGGTTGTTTATTCGGGTATACTATTTCACATGGTTGTTTATCCGAGTATACAGTTTCACATGGTTGTTTTTTCCGAGTATACAGTTTCACGTGGCTGTTTATTCGGGTATACTGTTTCACGTGGTTGTTTATTCGGGTATACTATTTCACGTGGTTGTTTATCCGAGTATAGTTTCACGTGGTTGTTTTTCCGAGTATACTGTTTCACGTGGTTGTTTATTCGGGTATACTATTTCACGTGGTTGTTTATCTGAGTTTACAGTTTCACGTGGTTGTTTTCCCGATTGAGTGGACGGACTTGGTGTCTCCAGGTATACTGTTTAAGTGGACGGACTTGTTGTCTCCAGGTATACTGTTTAAGTAGATGGACTTGTTGTCTCCAGGTATACTGTTTAAGTGGACGGAATTGTTGTCTCCAGGTATACTGTTTAAGTGGACGGACTTGTTGTCTCCAGGTATACTGTTTAAGTGGACGGACTTGTTGTCTCCAGGTGTACTGTTTAAGTAGATGGACTTGTTGTCTCCAGGTATACTGTTTCTGGACGAGCCAACTTCAGGACTAGATTCCTTCACAGCTCACCACCTCGTGAAAACATTGGCAAATCTCGCAAAGAATGACAGAAGTGTTCTTTTATCAATACACCAACCAAGGTACGTGCGTGCAAAGTGTTTTGCTGTTTCTACAGAAATAATCCGGGTATACTGTTAAATTATAATTCCACAATTCATATCTTCTTAGTGTGCTGCTTGTTTAGCTTGTTGGTTCTTCTCGGTTTTGTGCCTCCATCACCCATGCATACAAACGGCCTCCATGATGATCCAACGGGAGGGAAACCAGCGAGTGCTCAGACCAATGCACGTTCAGATTACTTCGGCAATATTCCGCGTGAAACATGTGCAATAGTCTTGCTGCTATTTACTCTACACACTGTTTCAATACCAGGCACGGGTATGGCATCTATGAGCCCCGAAGTCTCTTCTGACTGTCACCTTGTCTTGCAGGTCTGACATATTCGAGCTGTTCGACCTGGTGTTGCTGTTGTCCCGAGGTCAGATGGTGTACTACGGCGAGGCGAGAAAGATGGTGGACTACTTCACGGACCTCGGCTTTCCGTGCCCAGAACTCACCAATCCCTGTGATCATTATAGTAGGTAATCGGGTCATTTGAGTAGGGCAATGTTGTGCTGCCAATTGTAGGTATGCTGATTAGTTAATTCCAATACACATGTTGTATAGATATAATGAAAGAAAGACGTCTCATTAATGTAGTCAAACAATCTATGCTACGCGTGAGAGCTGGAGTGTACATGTATGTTGAAAAGTATTGATAGTATTCGTTCTCGTCTGTAATTTCATTGGATGATTGTTCTGCCAGTTATCCAATCACATGCGTACTCATGTTAACAGGCACATTTTAGTAAGACTGCTGCAAATAGATTTTAATTTATTAATATTTCAAACGAATGTCAAAGGGATGTCCGAGACATATTAGTGTACGTCAGTGTGATTGCCTCGATGACGTATATAAGTCAGTACGTCCCAGAAAGTTACACTAATGAAAATCGAAAACACAGAAAAAATATAACTTTTAGTTATAATTATTGGCTTTTATTCGCTAGAAAAAATACAGCTACGTACGCCTACACGCTGAACTCTTATTCATAAAGATAATTACGTCATGAAAAGGTTCTTATCACCAGGTACTTGAGCACGAGACGAGTCGAGTCGCATCATTTAGACCCATTGAAATCCATGTGATTACTGATCAGAACAGACTCCGGTACCTCAGGCCCTGTAACGTCGCGTGCTCGTGCCCTGATGATGTAGATTGATGCTTGTGCTTTAAGTCATTGGTTTGTCTGGACCAGATGTACAGGAGACCTGTACGACTACGGCGTTATTCAACATTCACCTATTTATGTACTTCATGTGATGTGTCATCATGAACCAGCCTAAACTATTTTGGTCTTTAAAAAATTGACATCGGCACTATTATAGGTGATTATTTATTATCCACTGACCTGGTATTGAAATTCATACTGCTGGCTGTCAAAACGTTCGTGTTTGTAAATTGTCATAGCACACGCGAGGCATCGTCACAATACTTAATAGTTCTCAAATGGCTACTATACGGGGAGCCTATCCTCAGTGTTGCCTTTCGTGATGTTGTGGGAACATTAAGTTGGTTAGTTGGTTGGTTGGTTGGTTTGTTGTTTAACGCCGCACTCAGCAATATTCCAGCTATATGACGGCGGTCTGTAAATAATTGAGTCTGGACCAGACAATCCAGTGATTGACATCATGAGCATCGCTCCACGCCATTGGGATCGATGACATGCATCAACCAAGTCAGCGAGCCTGACCACCCGATCCCGTTGGTCGCCTTTTACGACAAGCATAGTCACCTTTTACGGCAAGCATGGGTTGCTGAAGACCTATTCTACCCCGGAATCTTCACGGGTCGGAACGTTAAGTAATAACGCACTCACTTATTCATTTTGGTATTCGAATACCCGTGTACAATATTTCAATGCCCTACCGTGATAGGGCATTAGAACTTGCTCAGTCACTCCCTAGTCACGAGGATTCGAAACATAACATCATCATTTCTTTGTTTCGGAAAATCAGGATTTTGCTTCTGTTTTGGAAGTGACGACTCAACCCTGTGCATGATCCTTCTTTGTAGTGGATCTGGCGACGGTGGACACGACAACAGATAACACGGAAAACAGGAGTTCCGACATCTCCGACAGTCTGGTGGCGGCCTACACACGCCATGCTGCGTCTGCAAGCCTTGAAGACAATAGCGCTGATGGTGAGACCAAGAAACCAGGATTCGACCCACTCCAGGCAGCCTTTAAAACAAACAAGTACCAACCCGGCGAGCTAAGACAGTTTTCAGTGCTCTTCAAGTAAGATATTTTATATGGGATATGTCGTGACATAGAAATACATGATGCCATTGTGTATTTGATCTTTATTTAATTCTGTGTTTGGATTTGAAATGTTGTTTTCACTCGTGTATTCTTAACACTTGGTATGTGTTGAATACATTAGTCTGATGTTGAAGGGTTTGATTTCTGCGTGGGTTTTTGGTCAAAAAGTAAACATTGACCTCGGGTTTATACCCATTTCAGCAGTCATAAATTAGATGGCCTCAAGTCACAGCGTTAGAATATCTTATTAATGTCTAGACAGGAACTGAGCCAATATTTGTTTCTACGTCAAAAAAGACAAATGCATGTGTTCTTGTGATACTTGGATACTCATTCCTTCACTAAAGAATGAGTGAGTATAGTGTTACGCCGCGTGTAGCAATATTGCAGCAATATAACGGCGGGGGACAGCAACAATGCCCCAACAATTAAAAACGCCAACGCCAGAGAAGAAACAATCTCGACTCTCCGCCGACTCTTCCATTGGGCGTAAAAGGCAAATAACAGGTGTTCGCGAAAAGGGTAAGCATGTCCTGCCGTACTTGAAGTAACCTTTACACTTAATTTACCTAAAAAGGCTAATGTTTGTTTACTGCCAGACGCCGAACAGCGGTACCCCTGCCATGCGACGGGAACTTATAAACAAACCGGATAGCGCTTTTATTGATTTTGTTGAAACTAAATTGGATATATTAATTTTGAAATACGAGAGAGAGAATACTGTTTATTATAGTGTCACATGTTATATACACTTCATACTAAAACACGTACACGAACAATACAAATATAACATCCGACCAGGTATGGCCTACGAGACACTTAGACATAAAAGCAAATTATAACGTCATGATCTGGATAAGGTAAAATAAGACATATACTAACAGAATGTTTAAAATTAAGGTTGGGTTATGAACACGCACGCTCGCTCGCACACGCACATACACGCCAAATTACTTATAAAGTCACGCACGCAATCATACACAAACACGTAGATAACCACACACCCACCCAACACCATACCACGCAAACACGCACAAGTACACGCACACACAAACACACGCACGCACACACACATACCATACGTACATTATACCACACACACACACACACACACACATACACCCAAAACAGAGGTGCATTTATCCTGCTAAATTTGAAAGACAGCCGTATGTACAACACTGAATCGACGTGGTTGACAGCTCACTGTGACGTCACACAGGTATTCTTTGTCAGTCTCATGTGGTAAGTAGTTCAGCAATTTCCTGGTGGTATCAATAAGGCAGAGAGTGAAAAACCTTAACGTCATTCGAATGCATGTGCCATTTGTATTTGTTCATCTACTTCAGTCGGTCAATGAGGAATTTAGTAGAAGACTATGCTCTGCTCTTGGTCCAGTTCCTGCAAGCTCTCTCCATGTCCCTTATCCTGGGTTTCGTCTTCTTCGAGCTCAAGAGGGACCAGTTGTCTTTGAGGGACCACTTTGGGTTGCTCTACATGATCAGCGTCATGTACCCCTACATGATCGTCCTGGATGTCATCGGGCAGTGTATGTATTGGGTAAAGCATGCTCTCTTGGTGTTTATATGTGTCCATTGTCACATGGCAAAGGTTTTGGTTTAGTTCGTTGTTTAACGCCGGACCCAGCAATATTCCAGCTATATGACGGCGGTCTGTAAATTATCGAGTCTAGACCAGACAATACAGTGACTGACATCATGAACATCGATCCATGCAATTGGGGTGGGTGACATGCATCAGCAAAGTCAGCGAGTCTGACCACCCGATCCCGTTAGTCGACTTTTACGACAAGCATAGTCGCCTTTTACGGCAAGCATGGGTTACTGGTGAACTATTCTACCCGGGATCTTCACGGGTACACATGGCAAAGGGACAGATCACCCAAATGGAAACGACAAACTGAAAATTGAGTTCGTTTGCGGTTACAAGTACCTATTAAATGCAATATAACTAAATCCACATGCATATTAAAGCTTGTGCTCAATATAAGGCTTCCTATATAGAAGCATAAAAAAGAATGATGAGTTGGTATAGGTAAAGAAATTAAAAAAAATCCGTTAGGTATTTTGCATTTATTACTCACGAATGATTAATAAATTACTATGACACCAGGTGTTAACGAACGGGTGACCACGCTTCTCTGATTCCGGGATAGAATAGGTCAGCAGCAACTTATGCTTTTCGTAACAGGCGATCTAATGGATCGGTGGTCAGATGCGTTGATTTGATTGATTGCTAATATGAATCACCGGTTTGTCTGGTCCTGACTTGATGATATACATGCTGCCATCTTAAAGGACAAACAAATGAGCGTTGTGCGTTTTTCTGAAGGTTGGTGTCCCTGTAAATGGAGTACAATTTGTTAATGAGTTTAGTGAGAAGGACACAAGGTACAATCACACAGCAAAATCTGATATGACATTCTGTATGTTTCTTTTACCACCGCCCCCCTCTGTGTGTGTGTGTATGTATATATATATATCAGTCTCATATGGTAAGTATCACATGATCGAGTCAGAAATCTTTTGTTCTTTTAAGATGTAATGGTTTTTATGCCAGTAAGTTGTACTTTTATGAATGTTTCCCCCGATTTCTGGGTACCATTTTGTTAAATATGCGAATTTTCAAACGTATTTCGATATACACGGAGAAATTGGGAAAATAACGGCAATCAAATGTGTGTGAATGTCTTGTTTGTTTCTTCTTTAACGCACCTTTCCAGCCATATGACGACGAGTGAATGTAAACAGTTAAAAGGGCATTGTACATTTTGGGGTTTACTGGTAGCTCTATCTCACTGACCAACAGAATACAATAAGGTGCGAACGTAAAATCCACACACTTCAAGAACAAATGCCTCCCATAAATTAAAAACCAAATGCTGGGTAACATATTCTCTTACTATTCCTATATAAATTATGACTCAGTGTCACTACAGATATATTGTAAGTGTCGTTAGATTTTCTTGGGTTTTCTCTCAGAAAAAAACTTTTTTCTTTTCAGGTCATAAAGAAAGACGATATCTATATTTTGAGCTTCAAGATAAACTATATTCAGCGGGGGCTTACTATTTTGCGAAGGTAAACCGTTTGAGTGTGACTAGGACTTCAGATAACCAAAGTACTGAAACCAGTGAAAGTGATACCAAAAACTGAAATGATTCGGTTGAATTTTGACAGTATCGGAAAGGAACCAAGCTCAATTGGCAAAACATTTGATTTTTCCACTTTATACACCACTATCCCACAAGAAAACGTAAAAAAGCTCATTCGTTGATCCACTAAACCAGGTGATTTTTACATTTCAAAAGTTCAGGACAATTTGTTGAGAATACAAGCAATGTCACCTGAATTTAACTGAGAAACATAAATGCTAGACTTCCTCGTAGAAAAAATCTGTGTGAAATTTGGAGATAAACCATTTAGGCAAGAAGTAGGCATCTCCATGGGGGGCACCAAATTCGCACCCAAGCTGGCTGATCTCTTGTTATTTATGCATGTGAATCGCAATTTCTGCTCGCGCTTGCAAAATCACGTGAATTTAGCTTCAAGTATATCGATGATCCCATATAGAATAAGAGTCAAATATCCTATTCCATTCAACTGATTTGTCCACCTGAACTTGAAATAGAAGGAGAGAATAAAACCGCATCATCTGTTTCATAATAAAATAGGTCAAAAGGTTCAGAGTGTATGACAAGAGTGGTGACTTCAACTTTCTTATGGTCAATTTGACCTTTATGTCAAGCACAAGTCCAGCAACTTTAAATTTCGTGCATGCTCTTTCTACGATTATTTCAAAGAGCACAGTAAGGCCCTTGGTAAAAAAAATGTTTGATCAGGTTTCATCATCAAGGCATTCGTAAAGCTTTCAAAACTTTTTATGGTAGACATGTGGGGGGCATTTCCAAAATGATGTCCGATACAATTTCCCTATTTTGACTTGTACAATACCAAACCGTGTAAGTTCAGATGAACACTTGACTTGGTTTTGTCAGTGTACATTTTCCACATTTACAGTTGCTGAGCGAGCTCCCATTCCACACGTTCTTCGTAACAGTGTACATGATACCTATGTACTTCCTCGCCAACCTGGAAATGGACGCATGGGTCTTCCTCAAAGTCTTCGCCATTATCTTCATCTCTGTCTACTGCTCACGTAGCCTCGCTATGTTCTCAGCATCTCTCATGCCAACTTTTCAAATCTCGGGATTCTTTGCACAGAGCTTTTTCTCCATTTTCATCATGTCCGCCGGCTTCTTCATCAACCTCGACAACATTCTCTCCTGTGAGTATTAACACCGCGCTGCTGGTGACGAAGGTTATAACTTCGTATATGACAAAGTAAATCAGTGATGTGGTTTGACATCGTATAGTATTGTAGAGGTCGACATTGAAGAAGATGGCACCGTAGTATGTTGCTACCAAAATATGATATGGTATGTTACAGCAAAGATATGTGGTATGCTATGGAAATATATGGTATATCACGCACCCGCAGAGATTTGCTATGGTGTTATATGACCCGCCTGCAGGTACATATCGTATTTAAAGGAAATATAGTATGACACCTACCCGCAGATATATGATATGGTATGGCACCTACCCGCAGATATATGATATGGTATGGCACCTACCCGCAGATATATGATATGGTATGGCACCCACCTGCAGATATATGATATGGTATGGCACCCATGTGCAGATATATGATATGGTATGGCACCCATGTGCAGATATATGATATGGTATGACACCCACCTGCAGATATATGATATGGTAAGGCACCCACCTGCAGATATATGATATGGTATGGCACCCACCTGCAGATATATGATATGGTATGGCACCTACCCGCAGATATATGATATGGTATGGCACCCACCGGCAGAGATGTGAAATGGTACTGCATCCACCCGCAGATATATGATATGGTATGGCACCCACCTGCAGATATATGATATGGTATGGCACCCATGTGCAGATATATGATATGGTATGGCACCCACCGGCAGATATATGATATGCTACGGTAAGGCACCCATCTGCAGATATATGATATGGTATGACACCCACCTGCAGATATATGATATGGTAAGGCACCCACCTGCAGATATATGATATGGTATGGCACCCACCTGCAGATATATGATATGGTATGGCACCTACCCGCAGATATATGATATGGTATGGCACCCACCGGCAGAGATGTGAAATGGTACTGCATCCACCCGCAGATATATGATATGGTATGGCACCCACCTGCAGATATATGATATGGTATGGCACCCATGTGCAGATATATGATATGGTATGGCACCCACCGGCAGATATATGATATGCTACGGTAAGGCACCCATCTGCAGATATATGATATGGTATGGCACCCACCGGCAGATACATGATATGCTATGGTAAGGCACCCATCTGCAGATATATGATATGGTATGGCACCCACCCGCAGATATATGATGTGCTACGGTATGGCACCCATCTGCAGATATATGATATGCTATGGCACCCACCTGCGGAGATTCTATATAGTATGTTGTGGAAAAGCTGATATATGTGTGTGAAATGGTATCATGTCATTACACGCAGAGATGTGATATGGTATGTCGTGACACTGTCGATATATGGTATATTAGGGCGGTCGGGTAGCCTAGTGGTTAAAGCGTTCGCTCGTCACGCCGAAGACCCCGGTTCGATTCCCGACATGGGTACAATGTGTGAAGCCCATTTCTGGTGTCCCCCGCCGTGATATTGCTGGAATATTGCTAAAAGCAGCGTAAAACCATACTCACTCACTCACTCACTGTATATTATGTCTGACTTAATTCCAAGATATGTAAGTGGTACCATATTTTGTTGCAGGGTTAAGATGGGTGGCTGACGTGTCGTATCTTCGATGGGGGTTCGAAGGGCTGTGTTTGGTTGTAGTGTCCCCCCTCAACTTTACCTGCGACGGGGTCCCGGAAGCTTTCTGTGTGGCGACGGGCGAGGAAGCTATGTCGATGTATGCCTTCAGAGATGAAAAGATCTGGGAAGCGGTGGTCGGAATATGTGCTTCCATTTTTGTCTTCTTATTGTTATATTTTGTAGGACTCAAATACATCCCACAAAAACCACACGAAGCCTGAAGGTTTTACAATTCATGAATGTGGATCAAGCAACTACCATTGTCTCGGATAACTTAACATATCTGTTATATTACACATGTGTTTATCTCAAAAAATCTATTCTCGGACAACCTTACATTTATGTTTTCTTCTAGTCGTGCATTTGAAACCTTGATATTTCGACATTATTATGTAAACCCCTTAAATCGCGATATATATTTGTGTTCCAAATCCCGATATCTCGATGCATATAATCGCAGTTGACATTTACGAATATGATTCTGTGACTCCATTTTGGGGCAGTGTAGTTCCTGTTTCATGATCTACCTTTCCTCAATTTTCCTTCTCCTGTTGACGTATTGAACATTATTCAGTTATACCTGTTAGCATGATGTGTTATGAAAGCCCAAAGTGATGCTGTTATTTGACGTTTACCACTTTGGGAAACCAACAAGCACATTTGCTGACAAACCAAGAATAATCAGGGCGAACCCTCTTTCTTTAGAGATTGTGGTAGTTGGCTGTAATGTGATCTCTACATTTCCGCGTTTAATTCCACTTATGACAGACTGTGAGTTCCTGCCACTGGACATGTCCCTATAATGTATTCTATGACGTGTCCAGTGACATACTAGTTACTGTTACTCAGGCTGTCTCTACGCGACGCCTAATATAACGTCACCAGACGGAACCTTAGTTGAATAAGAATTTAATATGTATGTGCTCATACCATTATGAATAATCAGACAGGCTGAAGATGAAATATTTGCCCGTTTAAGTTGGTTGGTTGGTTGGTTTGTTGTTTAACGTCGCACTCAGCAATATTCCAGCTATATGACGGCGGTCTGTAAATAATCGAGTCTGGACAAGACAATCCAGTGATTAATATCATGAGCATCGACAAAGGCAATTGGGATCGATGACATACATCAACCAAGTCAGCGAGCCTGACCACCCGGTCCCGTTAGTCGCCTTTTACGACAAGCATAGTCACCTTTTACGGCAAGCATGGGTTGCTGAAGACCTATTCTACCCCGGAATCTTCACGGGTCAGCCCGTTTAAGAGCGACGTAGTGAAATATATGTAAATAAATTCGCTATGCATTTTTAGATCCACCTTGTTCATTTAAAAGTATTCGGTCTTTCGCGTTACTATACAAATAACGTGACTAGACATAAGGTTGTTGGGGACAAAGCTGTTATATAAGAGAGTTTGGTGCTTACTCTGGACCGAACACAAACACGCTGACGTCACAGAGGTTGCCAATATTTTTTGCAAATTGGCAATTTCAATCGCCTTGAAAGCACCGTTTTTCTTTCAGTGAATGTATGTTTGGCTCATGTATACGCGGATATATAGTGTATATGTGCGCTGTCATGTTTATATATCTGCCTGTGTAGATAGTACCATGTATTTATTAGTTATCTTGAATCACTTTTGACTAGACTAATGTGATATGTTTGTGAAATGATTCATTGCATGGGTTGCTGTAGATATGAATATGTGTAAATTATTGACATGTATGAACATATATAATTCATTGCAAAGTTAATATACCGGAGTGTGATTACCAAAATATTGCCCGGATTTCAAGAAGGGAAAACTGAAAATATTACTTTCGCATAACAAATTAACTAATAGAAAAATATTGATTGGCTTATATATTTTAAATTTTCTTTTTGCAAATACTAGTATTTAGATTTTAATTTCTCTCGATCTGTTGAATCTTTGTAATCTTACTATTTTGGATCCAAACAGAAAGATGTAAAATACAAACACAAGATTTCTTTCTGACTGGAAACGAGGGGAGATTTCTGAGACCAGTTTCCTAATATGCCGAGACCTTAGTTGAACATAGAAAATGTTACCCTAACTCATTCCTTTAGCAATGCAATGCTGTCAATATTGTTTTACACAACTTATATATATCGTGCAAGTATTATGCCACTAAGGTTGGTGCAATCAAATATGCACACACAATGCAAGGGAACGGCACAAAACAATGCAAAAATGTTCATTCCCTAAGTTGGAATATGCAAGTTTGTTCTGTGTGATGTGTTTTGGTAATGGTGTTTTTGGTAATGTTTTGGTCAGACAAAGTGTACAATCAATTTACTTGTGAACGAACAGAGAATAAGTATTCTTATAATGTACACTCATATAATGTGTCTGATATGATTCATTACAATAACCGACTCGTGAAGATCCGGGGTAGAATAGGTCAGTAATGATATGCCAATGAAAAGAACAACAGTCGTGCAAACCATCTTGGTTGGTTGGTTTGTTGTTTAACGCCGCACTCAGCAATATTCCAGCTATATAACGGCGGTCTGTAAATAATCGAGTCTGGACCAGACAGTCCAGCGATTAACATCATGAGCATCGATCCACGCAGTTGACATGCATCAACCATGTCAGCGAGCCTGACCACCCGATCCCGTTGGTCGACTTTAACGACAAGCATAGTCGTCGCCTTGTACGGCTATTTGTACTTTTGCTGGTTTTACACTGCTAGCCTACTGAGATACCATGTCACAGCTTAACATGGATACCTCACTCAGACACAGTATACAGACAGCCCTTCTTTATTCTCTAATGTTAGGTGTCAGGGTAACAACAAATACACAGCTACCCGATCCCGTTAGTCGACTTTTACGACAAGCATAGTCGCCTTTTACGGCAAGCATGGGTTGCTGAAAACCTATTCTTCCCCGGATCTTCACGGGTGGCAAACCATATAAAATCCCCACATCCAATTGTGTAATTATATATAGAAATGTGGTTTCATGGTCAGTGTTGTTTTCTTTTATAGACAACCACCTATTTTGCACCATATTTTGGTCCTTTTGTCTACATAATCTATATTGAAGTAGGTGTATTCAGCTTGGTATATTTTAAATTCTGATGCGATAACTTACGGTAATAATTTTGCATTTCTTCTGAATAAAAAATGATCACATTTATGTTTAATATTTGTTGATTTCTTCATGATGCTATGCATGAATCACAGGTTACTGGAATCACTATGATATGCTCGTGTCACCATCGCATGTACTCACCATATTTGATCACAAATATGTATTTTAAAGGGAAATAACTCTGATGGCCATATGGTTCAATGGTATGTTACAAACATTGCATCATTTGAGGCGGAAGGTGACACTAAGATACATAAATGTTTCTATCTATCACGCTCATACGTAAGCAGGACATTTTTTAAAAATCCCTTAACCGCCCACACGGCATTTTTCTCAATGAAACGGTTGTAATCACCGCCAACTATGCATTATTAACCCCAGTTTGGATTCCGGGTTAAATTCTTGTCGTAAAAGGCGACAAAATGGATCCGATGGTCAGGTTCTGTTACTTCGTTGATGACGTGTCATCATACCCAAAAGACGTGAGATGTCGCTCGTTATATCAATCATTGAATTGCCTGATCCGGAATAAATTATATACAGGCCGCTGTATTGCCAATCTCATTTAAATCAGATCTTAGTTCTCGCTACCGCTAAACAAAGATCTGAGGACATCCCATTATGGGTCACGTCAGACCGACTTTGCGCGAACTTTGACCGACCAATGGAATGACCAATCAGAAGGCAGCTTTCTCGTGCTTTACGGCACAAATTTCAAATTGGCGACTACGCTTCGAAACATATTTTGACAAATTCTCGATTACAAATTTGAAACCTGAACAAAAAAACATTCTGGAATGGCTAATAGATTGTCTAGATTGTAAGGATTTAGTCGTCAAACTCGTAACTATCGTTCGTAATAACCCATGTTAAAATGTTCGAGATTGCATGATTAGAAATAACATTCAGACTGTCACTTTCATAATCTGGTAAGCGACGTACTGATTGGTCGGATGAAAGGTCGTTCTGACGTGACCCCGAATGGGATGTCTACAGATCTTTGTTTAGCGGTAGCGAGAACTAAGGTCTGATTTTAATGAGATTGCGGTGTTGTAGCTGTTATATTCCTGAGTGCAGCGTTAAACAACGAACAAATAAGCAATACTTGTTCTCCTCTTTGGGGTTTGCTCATTGAGCATGCTCCTCAGTGATGTGGACTTTGCGCTATATAAATAGCCTTATTATTATCATGTACAGATGAAAATAAAAAATGCAGCAAAGAGGGTTTGGGTGTTCCTGGCAGGCTGGTTAGGCTCATCATCAGCTCAGGGCCCTTGCCCCCTCTACACGCAGCCCAGTCAGCGAATGGGACTTCTCCCAGGAAGCGCTGCCTAGTCAAACCCACCCAACACTACAGCCTTCTGCATTACCCAGATTGTCAGAAGGGCTGTATTCCTGGCAGCAAACACGGGTACTCTCCCAACGTCAGTCAACAGATTGGGAGGTACGAAACCTAAGGCACCAAGAACAATGGGGAGTCGGAAAACTTGGTACTTAGGATGCAAGCGTGACATTTTGAAAGCGAGGTCTGCGTATTTGCCATGTTTTTCCTGAATCTTGTCAATCATATTGGTGTCAAAAGGGACAGAAAATTCAATAATATAAATGATTTCATTGGATTTATCAAAAAGGACAAAAAGGATATTATTATTATTATTATTATAATGGTAATCATGAGCTACGTATATTGAACATGTTATTTAACAAATTCAGGGTTATGCAAGGTTAGTCACTATGTACGAAGGAACTGCTTCATTGTCACCTTGTAAAGGTAAGAACGACCGCGACAGTTACACAATAAGCGCAAATACATAATAGAATGTTTTTATCAGTATCCCAAGGTCGTGGTAATTAAGCATGACACGTGAAAGCGTGAATTGTATCTTGGCGGTGACAATGACATTGACAAATGCCTCGAGCCTTGAAATGGTGTGTGACACGTTCGTGGTAATCTGCTCAAATTATGATTTATCGTTAAGAGCGTACAGGCTATACCGTTTAGTGAGGATCTGATGTTCTCGACTGTCATCATTTTCATAATCAAGCTGTAGCAACGATAATGATATTAACGATGTATACCATTTGTGAAATAAAGCATTTGTTTCAAATTATGCAGACATCATCCTAATTTATAATACTGAAAGTTTAGAATCGCCTAATGTCATTTCTATATAGTGGCCTATTAAATCAATAAGTAACCATGACTCCACCCTCTGATTGCCCACGAGCGGTACTGAATTTACGTTAGAACTTGTTTTTGTTGACTTTGAAAGAAAATATTTATGTGAAAGTACTTCTTTCACAAACCCAACTGGAAGGCTATTTTCAAATACAAATTTTATTTCATAAACGTTTCGCAATGCCGTGTTGTTGGTTGGTTGGTTGGTTGGTTGGTTGTTTAACGCCGCACGCAGCAATATTCCAGCTATATGACGGCGGTCTGTAAAAAAATGAGTCTGGGCCAGGCAATCCAGTGATTGATATCATGAGCATCGATCTACGCAATTGGGATCGATGACATGCATCAACCAAGTCAGCGAGCCTGACCACCCGATCCCGTTAGTCGCATCTTACGACAAGCATAGTCGCCTTTTACGGCAAGCATGGGTTGCTGAAACCTATAATACCGTGTTGTATTAAGTGTGACCATGTATAATAGACACGAGCAGTCTGAATGCCAGAGTACCCGAAGATCTACATTTCATACAGTTCGCATGACATGACATGTGATTCATTAAGTGTTTGGTCACTATGGGCTGAGCTGATTGAGGAGGAAACGCAACAATATAACCGACTAAAACCTAAATTACACTCTATTATGAATTGAAATCCAATGTAAGGATAATTTTAAATAAATATGTTATACACACCCGATGTCACATCACTCATTTTTCCCACTATTACGAAAGAGTTCGTGTCATGGTAGAATGATTGGTTGGTTGGTTTGTTGTTTTACGCCGCTCTCAGCAATATTCCAGCTA